ATCAGCCATTGTTGTTGGTTCTGATGAAACTTATAGGTCATGTAGTACCTTTGAGCTTTTACCAGAAGGGACTAATGTCATTAGCCATTTTGCTAACTGAAGATTACTGTGGTTACCATTGACATCTAGTTGCTCAAAATAATAAAAAGGAGATCATGCTGCTAAAGTCTTCATTGTATATTCAGACAAAGAGCAAACAAGTATGTAAGAGAAATATGTGAGAGTTTTAAAAACAAGAGGTTACATTTGACTATTTACATATTTGAGTGCATTGTCTGAAGTGGAAGATCCAGGATCCCAATGCAATCTCTGTTCATGTTTTTCTTCACTCGGGCTGTAATGAAGAAAGCAGGGGCTAAGTTGTCAGAATGAGCCATAAAATGATTGAATTACATTTCATTGAATGGGCAATGATGCTTTCTTTGTGCATTTGTTGAGAAATATTGTCAAGAAGCAGTTCTTCCTCTTTTAAATGGTTGGAAATACTTTGGTCATGTTTTCCACTACTCTGATGTGCTATTGAAAATACATTTCTCTCCACATTCTCTGTAGTCAATTTATACTGAGATAATTACACATACACATGTATATGTATGTACATATATTATATATAAATATATACGTGTATGCAGATAGACATATATGTATATATCCATAAGGGATTTGGTAATTGAACTTGATTGAAGACCTTTCAGTGCGCATTTGTTTGGTTTTATCTGTTGCTGCTATGGTTGACTCCTTTACCAAATTAAATAGCATAACTAAATTCAGTGGTCATTCCTAACTAAGAAATATGAAACATGTGATTTTCTCATCAAAGAAACTCCTCTTATAGTTTGTTTTTTGTGGGAAACCTCCAAACCTCCAACTTGCATACAATCTCTTCCATATACCAAATTTTTGGTAAAACAAGCCTGTAATCTTGACAGTAAAGTATCTCAGTTGTAAGTCTCTGTAATGTCAAACTTCATAGAATCTGTCAACCACTATTTATGTTTATTAGTCTTGTTGTTCTAGTGGAGGCTGTGGAAGTAAGATTTACTTTCTGGTGTCACCTCCAAATTTGCCTTTCTTTGCTTAGTTATCTGTATTTTTCTGAAGTTCCTTCTTCCATTTTTCTGCAGTTCATTCCACTTCCATCAGTAGCTGGATTTTATTTGGCCCGTTTTTTCACAAAAAAGAGTCTATCATCCTACTTTGCCTTTGTTGTACTGGGTAGCCTGATGGTTACGTGGTTTGTGATGCATAATTACTGGGATCTCAATATTTGGATGGCAGGCATGTCTTTAAAATCCTTCTGTAAGCTGATAGTTGGTAGTGTTATCCTAGCAATGGCTGTTCCTGGTTTAGCTCTTCTTCCACCGAAACTCCATTTCTTGATGGAGGCTTGTTTGGTTAGCCATGCTTTGCTCCTATGCTATGTTGAAAACCGGTTTTTCAATTACTCCAATGTATATTACTATGGAATGGAGGATGATGTAATGTATCCAAGTTACATGGTTATGATGACTACTTTCTTTGGTTTAGCACTTGTGAGGAGACTTTCTGTGGATAATAGGATTGGGCCGAAGGCAGTTTGGATACTAGCTTGCTTGTATTGTTCTAAGCTTGCTATGCTTGTCATGGCATCCAAGGCTGTATTGTGGGTGTCAGCTGTTCTTCTGCTGGCTGTTTCTCCTCCTCTACTTCTATACAAGTAATTGCTGAACTTTTATACTCTCTCTCTCTCTCTCTCTCTCTCACACACACACACACTATATTATTTTATTTTTAATGAAGAGATCATACTAGATTCTTTTTTCTAAAAGAACATGGCAAACTTCTCGCTGATCTTACTTTGCAGAGATAAGTCTAGAACTGCCTCAAAGATGAAACCATGGCAGGCCTATGCACATGGTGGTGTGGTTGCATTAGCTGTTTGGTTTTGTCGAGAAACGATTTTTGAAGCTCTTCAATGGTGGAATGGTAGACCTCCATCTGATGGTTTACTATTGGGCACCTGCATTCTTTTGGTGGGGTTAGCTTGCGTGCCAATTGTTGCTCTTCACTTCTCACATGCAATGGTACTAATTCTTGGTTTTCATAATTTTGTCACCATATTTCTTGGTCTTATATTCAAGTTAATATTGTTGGAGACCATTGAATTGACAAGAGCATATATACATATTCTACTGCTCTATATGAAGCTAGTCTTTCAGTTGTTGTACTCAGTAAATTCACAACCCGTGTCAATATTTTTTTAAAGCAATGTGGTTTTAGTGCTCTAAATTTCTTTCATTAGTTTTTTCCCGTAAATGTAATAGTTTTGATTAGTTTGTTAACTTCACTTTCTTATATGCAGTCTGCAAAGAGATGCTTGTTGTTGGTGGTAGCAACAGGTGCATTATTCATTTTGATGCAGCCGCCAATCCCCATGTCATGGACGTATAGCTCAGACATAATCAAAGCTGCTCGGCAATCTTCAGATGACATTTCCATATATGGTTTTATAGCATCAAAGCCCTCATGGCCTGCATGGCTGCTAATTGCAGCAATCTTGCTTACTTTAGCAGCTATCGCCTCCATCCTTCCTATTAAGTACATTGTTGAGTTGAGGACATTTTACTCCATTGCCGTTGGAATTGCACTTGGAGTATATATATCTGCGGAGTACTTTTTGCAGACTGCGATGCTGCATCTCCTGATTGTTATAACCATGGTATGCACCTCTGTGTTTGTGGTCTTCACACATTTCCCATCTGCCTCGAGTACAAAGCTTCTGCCATGGGTATTCGCACTACTGGTTGCTCTCTTCCCAGTCACTTATCTATTGGAGGGCCAGGTGAGAAACAACAAAAGCCTGCTCGGAGACGGTGGAGTTGGAGATTTGGAGGTGGAAGATAACAAACTAGCTACGCTGCTGGCTGTCGAGGGTGCAAGGACTTCACTTCTTGGTCTATATGCAGCAATCTTCATGCTTATTGCACTTGAGATAAAGTTTGAGTTGGCTTCGCTTCTACGAGAAAAGGTCACTGAAAGGGGCGGACTTAGACACAGCCAGTCTGGTCAAAATGGCACAGCCAGCGTCCCTCCGAGGTTAAGATTCATGCAGATGCGCAGGGCCTCCGCTGTGCCAACCTTCACGATAAAGAGAATGGCTGCTGAGGGGGCTTGGATGCCCGCAGTTGGTAACGTGGCCACCATCATGTGCTTTGCGATATGCCTGATATTGAATGTCAATCTTACTGGTGGCTCAAACCGAGCAATATTTTTCTTGGCCCCCATCTTGCTACTTCTCAACCAGGACTCTGATTTTGTTGCTGGATTTGGGGACAAGCAAAGGTACTTCCCCGTTACTGTAGCCATCTCGGGCTACTTGGTGTTGACTGCGTTGTATGGCATATGGGAAGATGTATGGCATGGAAATCCGGGGTGGAGCTTGGAAATAGGAGGGCACGATTGGTTCTTCGGTGTCAAGAATTTGGCGCTTCTCATTCTGACGTTCCCGAGTCACATCCTTTTTAATCGCTTTGTGTGGAGCTACACGAGACGGAACGACTCAACTCCGCTGCTCACCATACCCCTTAATATTCCTTCCATCATTATAACTGATGTCCTCAAGGTCAAGATACTAGGGCTTCTGGGCATTATATATTCTTTGGCCCAGTACCTAATTTCAAGACAACAACACATCACAGGCTTGAAGTATATTTAGATAGGAAATTGAAATACGCTGTAGAATACTAGTGTTTTTTTTTTTTTGGTTTTTCCTTCCCCCACTCTGCTCCTAGCAATTTTGAAATCAGGTATGAAAGATTTGCCTGCTAGTTGCGCGCCCTGGTCATCATTTTGGTTCCCATTTGCCTGAGCCCGGTTACGATAGGCAATGAGAGTTGGTGAAAAATCAGTTTTGGGGACCTGAGAAACGAATGACCCCGCTCCGCTCCGCTAACTTTGGTGGGACTCCGCTAACAGATAATTTCTTGTTTTGTCAAAATAAAAGGTGAAGTTGTGAAGAGGGACAGTTGGATGAATTTTTGTTTATCGCTTTTAAACACATGATGGTTGGAAGTGGGGAGTGACAACCGTTCTTGAAGGTTCACGGTCACGATGTGGCCTGGCTCAGATTACAGCATGTAATTCGATTTTAACGTCATGTGTGGGGCTCATAAAAAAAGTGTTGTAAAATTACGTTGTGTGCAAAGTAAGTTACATCGTGTGCAATGAAAGTTACGCGCCGTGAAAAATGAATGTCCCGTGATGGTTTGGATCCATAAGAAAGTGACCATTGCACACAAATAGCTTCTGTCCTTTCTGTTTCCCCGGAAAAAATATGGGGCCATTAGGACGGTGAGGTGAAGAAAGTGGGCCGTGTGAGGCCAGGCTGAGTTTGGTACCTAAAACTAAAGGGAATGGATGAAGAAGGTCCAGCCTAGTTCTACTTCTATACAAGCATTTATCACACCCGTGTGAGCATTGTCACGCCCATGCTGTCCATCATCATTTTATTACCCCAATGGCCCAATCTTTAAAAAAAAAAAAAAAAACCGATTCACCGTCAGGTTGGAGAATGGAGATGGATGAGAACACTCAATGGTCCTTTTTTTTTTTTTGTTTTTTAATTTTATCGGCAACGACAACATTTATATAATTTAATTTATTCAGGAAGGAAGACGAGTCTAAAGAAATTGTGTAAGGAACTAGCATGTATACAGATTTGACTAGACTAAAGAGGTGTTCTGACATTAAAAAAAAACTGTGTGAGAAACTAGTAAGTATAAAAATTTGACTAGATTAAAAAAGTTTAGTCTTTGAATTTTTTTTACAGTAATTAAAGTTTGAACCCAAACTTTCGATCCAAAGAGGGATTTGGCCACAGTGATTGAGAACACTACTAGTGCATATTTCTACCACCAAAAAAACAACGGGAAATTAATCACCTTTTTTTTTTTTTGGTTGCTCATCATCGGAGATACACGTGGTGTAGCAGAAAGTAGTGAGCAGTGGCTGTACCGTAGTAGGGAGTGGAAGAGTGACAGTGGTTACCCATCCTTCTTGCTACTAATTCTTATCCGTCAAACTGATGGTCCAAAAAGATAATCCCACCTACAAATATACTACAGAGGCTTCCTTCCTAGTATTTATAGTAATTTCCATTCCGCTGGCTCTGGCTCTGGCTCTGGTAAACAACCACACTCGGGCTCATTATTGCATGCGAGTGCTATATATATATATATATATTTGGCGTTGGATTGGAGGGTCTCTGAGCTGAGAAAGGAGCACAGAGAGGTTAGCTATTGATGAGTAACACCATTCATAGCAGACGACTAATTGGTGGTCGTCATACGATGATTATGATGTTGATGTTGTGGCTATGGACTTGGAGGCTGATCATGAGTCTCAGCAGCAGCGGCGGCTGCGGCTTCCCTCATGTGGCCGCGGCCGCGGCCGTGCCAGTGCCTCTGGCATCATCAGCAGCAGCAGAAGGTGAGGACGAGGACGAGGCGGAGGCTGATCCCCCAATTCCCAGGCCCTGGCCCCACCAATTCCACTCCATCCTCTTTGTCAACTTCACTGGATCCCTCAGCCTCATCGACCTCTGGTACGACTGGCCCAACGGCCGCAACTTCAACATCATCCGCGACCAGCTCCAGGACAGTGACTCCATCCTCTATGACCTCGAGTGGAACAATGGCACCTCCTTCTTCTACACCCTCCCTGACCACCACCACCCATCCTCCACCCCACCCTCGTGCCGCTCTGCTCAGCTCGACGTTGGGATTCTCCGCCCCAACTGGCTCGACGGCGCCTCCTATCTGGGCCAACGCCACGTCGACGGCTTCCTCTGCAATGTTTGGGAGAAGCTGGACTTCATCTGGTACTACGAGGACGTTGTCACTAAAAGGCCCGTTCACTGGCTCTTCTATACTGGTGAGTCTCTGCCACCTACCTACAATTATTACCATTCATAAAATCCGCAGCGCTATTCCATGATCATAAACCTTACCCCTTCTCACCACTCATTTCAACATTTTCCCAAGATTGATATTCCGTATCTATTCTCAGTTTATCATCTCCTTACTGCGTTCTCTATTTATTTGCAAAATTTGCATTCCCTTCCAGAATTCTGCTGCATCATGCATGTTTGCATGTTCAGGAAATAATGGGTCAAAAAAAAAAAAAGGCTTCTTCATTTTCTACCTCATAATACCCCTCTATGCTATTGCTAGGTAAAACTATTCTATTTCTTTCATCATGACAAATTAGTGAGCATGGACTTGTATGCAATTTCTTTGATCCAAACTTGGGACGTTCATTACCTGGTAAAATGAGCACTAGTAGCTTATCTCCTAGGCATATTCTTATGTTGCTTTCTTACTTAGGCAAAAGTTGGCTAGTAAAATTTTGGTTTTTCCTGTGAAAGCCAGTTACAGCGATAAAATAACACATGCAATATTTCAACTCTGTTCAAGGAACCCTGCCAAATAGAACCACCAGCAAATTGGACAGCATCATGCTACCAGTTAGCAGATTTACAACACATGCTATTCTTACACAGCTTTGCTTTGAAAGACAGAGTACTACTCAATTGCTCCTCTGTTTGATATGTATACAGAAACATATTTACCATCCCCTATGTAATATATTAGGTCCTCTCCCTCTTCCCCCCTCATTTTTTGAGCTACTATTAACTGAAGTGCTGTAAGGGGCTATGAGGTTAGCAACCATCAGACCAAGTGATTGGTTTTATGTTCTTTCTTGTGTATTGTGTCTGCCATTGATTAAGTCTACCTGCATGCTTCATTTCTAACGTTGTACTTTTGCTTAGTTCTTTCAGTTTCAAGTGCAGGACTCCTCCTCCTATTTTGCTCCTCGCATTAATAACCTTTCTTAGATTTAGAGTAGCATTGTGGCTAAAGCTCTGAGTACTGTGAACAACCTCTACAATAGCACTGTACTTGAAGCTATTTCAATTTTTTGTGTCTTTGTATGTAAAATATCTCTTCCCAGAACAGTTGATTTCTACAATTACAGTGACTCGTGTAAGATTTCAAGAAATACGTCTTTTAACTTCTGTTGATCTAGAGCTCTGTTTTGGTTCTTTCTTTCTTTCTTGCAACAAGTTCTGGTAAACCGTTAGTTCATCTTTGCAGGAAGATCAATTCATGTCATGACATTTGAAGTAGGAGCAGTACTTGAGGATGCGAAATGGCAGGCACCTGTGTATTGCTTTGAGGAGGTCGATGAAGAAACTGATACAAGAGTGAGCACTTATGTGCACAAAAACTGGAAAATGCTTGGATGACTTATTCTGCCAGAGTTTGAAGCGTCCTACCATATATCTCATGTAGTAACCCATGCCTGGTCCTGTGGCAACAAATGCATTTTTGTTTATATGAAAAACCTTGATCTGTGCTATAGTAGTCAACTTCTCTGGAACCTAAACATTCTTGTTCCAATGTAGTTATCTTTTGTTTATATTGCTCTTCACTTTTTAGAGGCCCTATTATATAAAAGGTTATGATTTGGTTACTCTGTTGATGCAATTATTTTCACTTGGTTGTTGGGAAACGATTGCTGTTTGGAGGGCACGATCATTGGTCTGTATATAGCTGCAAGATTCTTTTGTCCAGCCACATGACATGTACATTTGATTATTGTCATACGGTGAGTTAAAGTCAGTTGTTTTCCATCTATTTCGGTCAGTATTAGTAATTCTTTGGCAGTGTTTGTGAAGCAATCTAGAGTGCCAATAAGGAACTATTATACATATCCTAAGGCAGAGTAGCTAGCTATGTGTATCAACTTCAACTTTGTATTTTTGACAATTCCATGAAATGCAACAACCAATCTGAGATTGTTGCCAAGATCCAAGAGGCAGGAGCTTTCTCTTTGCTGAGGAGAAAGGAGCGTTTGCAAGAAATTCCGAGATCCACTGCATGCTCCTCCGCCAGATTTCTAGTGGAGTAAGCTCTCTACCACTTCTATGTAAATGACCCTCGCCCCCATATTATGCTAGTAGCTGAAGAAAAACGTCTAGGAAATAAAAAAAGGAAATTCCTGTTATCTTCTTTGGCATTCCCTCTCTAGAAACAAGCTATATTTTTCTGATCTTAAACACTCTGCTGCTTTTACTTGTGAAGAAGTTGTTACTAAGAAAGCAAGAGTTCTATATAGCTATTCACAATGCAACATGTGCCATTTCCTCTGACAGTTACCTACTTTTTTGAGCTTTTAATTGAGGGAGAGTTTGTGTATATGTCGATGCCTGTATTTGATATTGTTGGCTAATACTCATCTTCGACATTAAGAAGTTCTGGGAAGGCTAGTATTTTTCATTCTCAAGTTACCTCTTGAGGGGACTAACAAGGCATTTGGTATGACATAACTGCTGGGCTCTGGGAAAGAATGGGACAGAGTGGACTCTGCAGTAGAACCATCATCAGGAAAATTAAAGCCAGTGAAAGCATCTCACAGGGTAGTCTATACAGAACCACTGAAGAAGACGATCTCTGTTCTACATGTTTAGAAGGTGCTTTAATCTTCCTGTTCAAAATCATTTTGTCCATTATTAATGCATTTCGCAGAAGAAACACTTTCTGCCCTTCATTTAGCAGTTATTGATCTAAGCTGGAGTAGAATATACTGAAGAGAATGCTAAATCACATCGATATGCTCTGATCACTTTGACCTGGGTTGTATAAATGAATGGACGGAAAGAAGTGAGAGCTGTCCTTTCCATGGCAGGGTATGTTATGACCAGTTGCGAGTGAATGGTATTATGGTTTTGTATTGACTTAATTGATTTAGCTAAATCAGCAAAAGCAATTCCATTTCAATATGTGAATTCAAGATAATATTAATGAAAAATTACAAAGAGCTGCATTGCAACTTGTTTCAGATCGCGACAGTTTCTTTTCTTTTTTTTTTTTTAACCGGTGGGTTTTTTTGACGGGGGAGGGGTGAACACATGAATTGTAGGACTAGATTCCATTATCAAATTCTGCTTACTGGAAGGTAAGAAATTGTACTTAAATGGTAAAGAAGAAAGAGGTTCCTTTGTTCTTCTGTAATAAGAAAGTTCCTATAGTTCTGTTAACCATGACTAGATTGTATGCTTGATGGTTCCCTCATTTCTCCGTGCTCCTTTTTTCTGTACTGGTAACAATGTGCTGCATACAAGAAGGCGGCAAAGTTTATCACACTCAAAACTGTAAGAAGCCAATAGAAGTAATCAAACCGCCCAGTGTTTACGTTCTGGGACAGCCACGATGGTCGTCTAGTTTCTCCGTTGCCCGTCACAGATTTCACAATGCTGTTCAATATGGTGGCTGCAAAGCAACCTAGCCCTCCAGCAACAGCCGCATAAGCTGAACCTATGCTCCTCATGGCATCAGGAGCCTCTTCGTAGAGAAATTCTAGCAGCCCAACTATGCAGAACACTTCAGCAATTCCAATCAGACAGTACTGAATCAACAACCAGTATGCACTTAGGTCGGGCATGGGAGTGAGAAAGCTGGCCTCGTACCCCTGTTTAACGGCATAGTGTCTCCTGTACCTCTCAAAACCCCAGCCCATGCCACAGACAAGATCGAAACTGCCAAACCAATGCCTACCCTCTGAAGCTGAGAAGCGCCATGGGGGTGACCAGTGACGCGTCTTGACAGCGGGACAAACACGGAATAGTAAAAGGAGAGTAGCAAAAATATGCTGAGGCCAGGAAAGACTGGCATGCATGTAACCGGGAGCTTCAAACCACCGATGTGAGTATTTAACGTATATGCCTGCTGCACTGAGAGGGTCAGGTATTCTGTTAAGATCAAATTGAGCATCACAGTGCATAGCGGAACAGGTATGAGCTTTAGAAGAATTTTAACTTCTTCTACTTGCGTCACGGTGCAGAGCCGCCAAGGACTTGGGTCAGCACCATCTTCTTTCAGTTGCAGTGCAGCTTTGTCCAGACATCTGCGCAGGCCAAAAGTGCCTGGTTAACAAGTAGTGTTACACGTATATGCTAGTGCCTGGTTAAAATGATTCAGGAATGTAGGTGGGCTGATCTTGTGGTGCTTCGAGTGAGAGAGAGGATGTCAATTGTTCAGAAAGTTTGAAGATTTATCTCGGCAATTGCCACCATATTATATTGCAAATGATCTTAGTCTTTTCAGGGTAACGGAAAGAATTAGGAGTTACCTGAAATCATCAGTATGAGCTATTTTGCTGCTTCCTCTGATAGCAGATCTTTTGCCAGGAAGTTCATACAAGCCTACAAAGTCGCCACTATCAAAAGAAGCATTCCTCTTGCGGAAAGCAGCCACGAGAACCTGCGCAACACGAGTCAGAGGGCTGCCTCCCGGCAATCGGTGCCTGTACAAGGGAGTGCCAAGAAAGAAGACCATGTTGGACAAACCCATGGCAATGGCCAACGAACCAAAGGCAGAGCCCCATCCATGCTTCATTTGGACGTAGACCACTGCCGTGAAGGCCACGATGGCTCCAACCGTGACAGACAGGTAGAAGAAGTTGAAGAAGCGGTCAAGGTGTGATTGGTAGTCTCTACTTCTTTCGTCAAACTGATCAGCACCAAAAGAAGAGACGCAGGGCCTTATTCCGGCCGCACCAAATCCGGTGAGATAGAGGACTATGTAGAGGTAAAGCATCTGCCAGGGCTTTGCAGGTTCACAATTGCCCAGAAGTAAGGCAATCTGGTCACACTGCTCTTGGTTCGGCAGAAAGAAGTTCATGGTAGCACACAGGGTGATTCCCGTTAAACCCTGGAGAAATTGAAAGGAAAAAAGAAAACTAAGTAATTGCACGAAAGCAAGAGCAAGAATTTTAGTCCACCACCAAGATTTGCTCGATTCCGGCATGTGAAAACAAGGAAAAAGGGTAATGGATGGTATTGACGATTGATTACCGCAAGATAGATGGTAGCGAAAATGGCTATGGTCCAGTATCTACCAAGGTAGGCATCGGCAAGGAAACCGCCAATCACAGAGGAGGCCTGTGATATTCCCAGGAAATTATTGACCGCATTGGCAGAACTTGAGAAGGGTCGATGCATGACGTAGAACATAAATGCCACCATGTTGACAGAGAGCCCAAAATAGGCCATCCTCTCAGCCATCTCGTTGCCTGCCAAAAAAAACCCGTAACAGCTAATAATTAAGCTGCAGGCTGCAGTATGGGTATGGGATATTTAAAAGGAGTAGGGGCATTGATTACCGAAGATGAAGAATGCAGCAATCCATCCGCCAGTGCTGGATAAATTAGAAATGGGCTTTCCATGGATGTTAACTGGCGTAGAACCTCCTCCGACGTAGCCGCCACTAAAAGCAGTCCGCCTGTCATCTGATTCAATGAAATAGATGCCCAGTTTTTTCCTGCGAAGAGAGTCGGAGGAGGAAATGTCATCAGGCAAAACTTCAGGGGACGCGATCTCTGTGGCACCGGCCATGCTATGCTGCTGAGGTGAGAGCGAGGGATGCAGTATGGTGGTATAATGGTTATTCGTGGCAAGGAGCAGAGAGGAAGGAAAAGTAGGAGTCAGAATGATTTTGCATTTGCAGCAACAGTTTGGAGTGATGGATCGTTAAACAACTCCAAACAGATAACCAACGTAAAGAAGAAATTGGAGGGAGGAAGTTGCCAAAAGGATGGGGAAAAAATCAGCCAACAAATGAAAGAGCAATCAGAACCCCGCCGCCACTCGAAACATCTACTACTAGTAGTAAAATTATTCGGAGGGGAGGGGAGGGGAGAGAAATGAAAAGCAATGAGAAGAAGAATAAGCTTATTCATGTAGATATGAACCAATTAGAATTAGGGAAGGGGAAGGCAGTTAAGCAATGTATTAAATGCCCGGCCGCCCGCACACTCACATCCATACATCACTCGGATGGAAATGTCCTCAGTAGATGCACAAGTCAGTAGTGTTACTGTAATAAAAGCAACAATAAATGAATGGTGATCCAACCGCTGAATATGATTGCTGCAGCTAAATTTGATGTGCAGCCGAAGCAGCTTATATTTAATATCTAACATTAAATAAGAAAAATTTAATAGGAGTATAAATAAAGAAAATACACTCTCTTACACTACACTAGCAGCAGCTGCTTTCTTTCTACCCACCATCAACTCAAGCAGCGACGGCATTAAATGCACTTTGCTACAGCCAAAGTGTTATTAGTGCACTTTGTACGACAGACTGATGGATGAATGAATGAAAATCACTCGTTTAGTTGACAACAGACGGACCGAACTTTTGTTGTCAAGGAGAAGCAAGCACGGATGAGTGAGAAGGAGACGGACTGCCACTTTTCGGGCCTCCCCATATTGAAAACTGTTTGGACTTCAAAGTGTAGATGTAGCAGGCCTTCCAGGATGGACAATTGGGCCAACACTGCTTGACAGAGATTAGATATTTTTTAAGGTCGTTTTGTGATGACCCAAAATTTTTCAATCCGTGGCCACACAGCACAGCACTACATACATATGTTTTCTCCAAATTGCGCCAGCCAAACCGTAGCCCGTGACAAATTGACAGTGGATCATCCCACTTGGACTTGCCCAGTAGATTTATTTTATTTTTTAAAGGGTTAAATATTATTATTTTTTCAGACGACGCCCAGTAGTAGTTGTACACTTACTACAACGGCCCATGGGGAAAAAGAAACCACATGAATGAAAAGGGTGTTGAGCAGTAAGTGGTAGTCGACTCACTAACAAAATTTACTACTGAGTAGCAAAATCTTGAATCTGATGATAGTTCAGCTGCACGGCAACTCATCACCTCACTGCCTCGCCACTCCTTCGCTCCACTTCCACTGCTAGCACTAGTATCAGTAGTAACTTTGCTGTTCTTCTCCTCCAACTTGAGGAATTTCTAGGGAGGAGTGTTTTAAAACCACCTTTCACTCTCTCAGATTGTTTCCTTTGTTTTTGCCTTGACCCTTTTTCTTTTCTTCGGGTTGTGTGGTTGGTTGGGTTTTCTTTCTCTTTGCAGAGGATTTGATTATAGACTCTCTCTCACTGTTCTCCCCAAAAAAAAAATAGTAATAAATAAAGAAGAAGAGAGAAAATGGAGGGGATGATGATGGAACAGGGCAGCAAATTCCTGAATGTGGGGCTCCTGCTGCTGGCCACCCTGTTGGTCGCAAAACTCGTATCTGCATTGATAATCCCCAGATCCAACAAACGCCTTCCCCCCGCCGTCAAGGGCTGGCCCCTCTTTGGAGGCCTCTTCCGCTTCTTGAGGGGACCCGTGGACTTGCTCAGGGAGGAATACCCTAAGCTCGGCAGCGTCTTTACCCTCAAACTTCTCAGCAAGAACATCACTTTCTTCATTGGCCCTGAGGTTTCTGCCCATTTCTTCAAGGCCCCGAATCCGATCTCAGCCAGCAGGAGGTCTACCAGTTCAACGTCCCTACTTTTGGGCCCGGTGTTGTATTCGATGTCGACTATTCCATCAGGCAAGAGCAGTTCAGGTTCTTCACCGAGTCCCTCAGAGTCACCAAGTTGAAGGGCTATGTGGATCAGATGGTTTTCGAAACTCAGGTTTTTCATTTATTTATTTTTTTTCCTTTCTTATTTTCCATCCTGCCCCCCCCCCCCCCCTCTTTTATTACTGGACTAGTACTTAAATGAGATGTTCACCAGGAAAGATGGGATTTTTTTTTTTAAGATTTTCTTTTGCTTTTCCTTCCCCCCCCCTTCCCGCGTGGGGGCTGTTGGGGTGCAAGGCCGCTGCTAGGATTGGTACCGTCCTACTATTAGGGGTATTAATTAGCAGTAAATCTGCAGACATTTTCATTGGGGTGGGGGAAATCTGCTAGTGCTACTGTGCTAGTGTTAGAACTTCTCTAGCATCCCAATTCATTCGTTAATGTCGGTTGGGGTGGGAAGTGGGAACTGAGGGAGAGGAGCAGTAGCTTCATCACTGCTCATGCCCTCTGTGCCCTGTCGCGTCCTATCATTTAGCAGGCAAAAGGCCTTAAACTAAAATGCTGCTTCCGAAACAAGAAGCTTCTGGCATCTCATCTTTCTTTAATCTCAATCTAAATGCAGAATTCTAACATTAGGAAGGAGGCCTCCCCAGATAGGTAACTCGTACCAGAACGCATGGTCCTGTGTAGTTTAGTGCATTCAGTACTCTAAATTTACTCTTTTGTCCTTCCACGCTTCTTTTCTACTGATGGAGTATTTATTTTTATTTTATTTTTTAAAAAAATAATGGCAGTAGTATGTATTTCTTACTTATGCATTATGCTATTTATTCAGCGTGAGTAAAATTATTCTACTGTCGCATTGTTCATTTTCATTATGCACTGGAGATTAATAATGGAGGATTACATTATCATTTCAAGAAGCAAAACCATGATTGAAGTTGAACCTGAATATATATCAAGCTCTACTTCCCTCTGTTTGGTCAAGTGCCTGTCTTTTCTGCCCATTAACATGCTTTGACCCTCTCCTGTCTTAATTGAAGGTTCCATCCTCTGTGTGTAAATTTATTGGACAACTTGCAAGAGTCTAAAAGATTCTAAACACGACACAACAGAAACTTCCTTTGTTCAATGAAATTTTGCCCTGTTCCCTGAAATAGAGTTATTCAGATGACCCAAAGTATTTGACCCCAAAATAATTATTAAAAAAAAAAAGAGGAAACCAAATCAGGTGCTAGTGTGTTTTGATTTACAAAATAACTTGGTCAAAAAGTAGTGCCTCACATACTTTGCTACCAGGCTCTGACCTTTTCCTTGTTCTTTTTCTTGGTCTGTGAAGGATTATTTCTCAAAATGGGGAGACAGCGGTGAAGTGGACTTGAAATATGAACTGGAGCACCTAATTATTCTGACCGCAAGTAGATGCCTTTTGGGAGAAGAGGTACGCAACAAGCTATTTGATGATGTCTCTGCTCTCTTCCATGACCTCGACAACGGTATGCTCCCCATCAGTGTCATCTATCCATATCTGCCAATACCTGCCCATCACCGTCGTGACAAGGCTCGCAAGAAGCTTGCAGCAATCTTTGCCAGCATAATTGCTTCTCGTAGACAAAGTGGGAAGACACAGAATGATATGTTACAGTGCTTTATGGACTCCAAATACAAAGATGGACGCCCAACAACTGAAGCTGAGGTCACTGGCCTGCTCATCGCTGCTCTTTTTGCAGGCCAGCACACCAGTTCCATCACCTCCACTTGGACTGGGGCTTACCTCCTCTGCAACAAGAAATACATGTCGCAAGTCTTGGATGAGCAGAAGAATCTGATGAAGAAGCATGGAGATAAGGTTGATCATGACATCTTATCTGACATGGAAGTCCTCTACCGTTGCATAAAAGAAGCTCTAAGACTCCACCCTCCTTTGGTAATGCTGCTACGCAGCTCGCACACTGATTTCAGTGTGACTACCAAGGATGGAAAAGAGTATGATATTCCCAAGGGCCATATAGTTGCCACATCTCCTGCTTTCGCCAATCGCCTCCCGCATTTTACAAAGATCCTGACACTTATGACCCTGACAGATTTGCTCCAGGAAGAGATGAAGACAAGGCGGCAGGAGCATTCTCTTATATATCTTTCGGTGGTGGCAGGCATGGATGTCTAGGAGAGCCATTTGCATATTTGCAAATAAAAGCAATCTGGAGCCACTTGTTGGAAACTTTGAATTGGAATTGATCTCACCTTTTCCGGAGATTGACTGGAATGCCATGGTTGTGGGTGTGAAAGGCAAAGTCATGGTACGTACAAGCGCCGACAGATTCCAGTGGATTAAGTGAACACTTTCTGCCTCAAATTTGCTTTGTGTTAAGCTCTTCTTTGGCTGCCGGTTTTCCCTTTAGCTGAAATGGTTTGAAAGCTTGTTCCACTCCTTCAATGACTCACCATCTTAGGTCTTTTCGAAGAAAGTGGCAGTCATGAGTCTATCATTGTTTTCTGGAGACATTAAACTTCTCTGTCTTGTGTCCTCTGATATCTGTAATCAATGCAGGATCGCATTTCTGCTGCTGGACAAGGTTTTTCTCCTGAATGTTTTGTATCTTTATTAGTGGTGAAATGATTATATTAATCCAGTTCTAATAGCAATAACCAGACCTATCACGGGCCTATATGGCTCTGATAGTAACAAAACGAGCTTCATCGTTGGGATAATAGGAAAGAAAATTTTGTAAACATTCTCGTCATTACGCAAGATTTTCACATGGCACTTCAAGTTACACTTCAGTTAGATGTAGCATCTTCTTCTATTTTAGATGTACATCAAAGCAAATATGGGACAGACTAAAGCAAACTTGCGCATTCAAAAAACTTCATGGTAAGCAAGCCAAAGCTGTGTTGAAAGTTTCTACAATTCTTCTGCTTATAGATTTTGAGAGGGTGTCGTACACAAACCAACTCGACATGAGCATATTGCCATTGTGCCAACTAATTCAAGGTACCTTTCTTCCATGTAAAACCAAACCACAGTCCCTTGCCAACTACCAAGGATGAAATACAATATAGCAACCCTACTAGTGTCGTCTACATCTCTACATCGTTGTATAAAGAAACGCCTTTTGGTACTGTTGTATGTGAACAAATCTGACAATATACTTCATACATTCTTCAATTAGGGAAGGCCTCAAGTAGGGACGATCTTCAATAGCTCAATATCAAACAAGAGAGTTTTGTCTATCAACCCCTGGTTTCTCAGCACAAAATCCAAGGCTCTCTGCCCCTATACACATTACAAAGGCAAATCATTCATAGAAACATGTACATGCACAATTGCAAAAGTAATTGCCATACCGAAAATGTTGTTGGCCTAGGACCCTTCTTGTTGAAGTCATTGTCAGGATATCCCAGTTCTGGGGGAACAATAATCCTGCATCAGTGAGAGGAAGAAAAAGTTGAGAAAACATTGCGAATCTCTAGGCAAATCATATCAGCTGAACTGATTCTCTAATCCAGTTGGATATAATAGTCTTACAAGAAAATTCCAGTTTCATGCACACTGGAGGAGTTACGGGATATGACATCCAAATACAGGTTCCAGTTTTGCCCAAGGAAAGTGACATTTTTTGGGTTTGGGGGGGGGGGGGGGGGGGTTGTGGACCCTTATGTTGGGAAATTGACTCCTTGTCTATGGAACTGATCCAACAAGGAAGCAGCTTGAACAGCTCCATCCACTACATACTGACAAGGAAGGTAGGAAATTCTATCCATAATGACATAAAAGCTGTATTTTGATGGCCACCATGTGAACGTGCAATACTAGCTTAAGTGAACATGTTATGGGAGTAAACCTCCCACAATTACATCTCTGGTTTTGCTGCCTAGCTTCCATGTACACGGAAGAAGTATTCATGCATTCAAGCATATGCCTTGGAACCAAAATTTCAGAAAACAATAAAAAAGTAATCTTTAAAATTTCTAATAAGTAGACAGTTGCTCAACTGACTATTAGCACTATAATAAGAGTGCAAGAGGGTGTGAAAAGAAAGGACTAGAAAAAATATCGATGAGATCATTTTCGTCGTAGTATAGCAAATACTAAATTATTTTACACCATGTCTAGAACTAACATTGAGTTGCACATGCAACCTTAAGTTCTGATGGTTATAGTTGTTAATGCCAAACTAGTCCGATTCTCCCTTCAAAGTAATGCTGAATGTGCATGCGCTCTAACCTATACAGTTAATAACTTCTCATATTCCTTTGTGTCTGAACTTTTTGAGTACGCTGACTTAAGCATTCAAAAGCTGCCATAACCTATGGTTCACATGGAAGGCAGTAGTTTCTTCAATAAGCAGTTTATATTTCTATTTTTCCTTCTTCTTGCAGGGAGAGCGGATAGAGTTAATCATGATTGTGTCATACGGAACAAGACAAATTATTTAGTACAGTTGAAAAATCTAATACCTTCTGACACCACCAAGTGCCATGCCTGAAACAGCTTCCTGAAATGCAGGTATGACCTAATATTTTCCAAAAAACCAACAGTGCAATCAGGAGTCTCTGTTCAACTAAACCTTACGTGCCAAAAAGCACACTTAGCAATTCCCTGTCTCAATCTTTTTGCAGGCAAAAGAGTCTTACCTCTTCAGATCCAATTTTAAATTTGTAGAACTCCTTATCATCCCCTGCATATTGATTGAAAGTAACAGATGATGTATCAGACAAAGACTTGCATGTTTTAGAGACAATCATTACCAATTCTTCTATAATGGGTATAAAGTTATACCTCGAACGAACCACCCTTCGTTTTGTTGCGAGCTTCAAATATGCGACCGTAATATCCAATAGTGTAACCATCCCAGTCAACCTACAAGATATTCAATGATAAAGAACTATCAACATTTCTCAGAACTTAAAGTGTCAAATGAGCGACAAGAAGACTAAATTTTGCATTATCTCATCACAAAGAATATTCTATCACTTATTCCTCAAGATTAAAGTGAACGAGACAACAGTCAGAAAACTTCAGTTTCAATTATGTCTTTTAAGGAAAAGAACAGTTACAGGCTTGAAATTATCTTCAACAAAGCTTTCATTTTGAAGAGTCCTCAACGTATTTGATTGAGCTTAGATGGTTATGTCCTTATTCTCCTAAAGATTTTAGATATAATTGGCTTACCACAACTGTCTCTCCTATCTTTGGTGTTGGCCCGCTTCCTACTCTCAGGTCCTGTAATGTTTGTCAGTTCAGAGTTAAAAACCAAGGTGAGCATGGAAGAAGAAAGAGAAGAAAGTATGTCGCAGGGGGTGACCTTGTACTGTAGACCTGATTCTGTTTCACTATAGTCAGGATATCGCATCTTTGTCTTGCCGTAGTCCTTTCCCCTCAATGCTGGCACTGTATGCTCAAACAGTGAGCTGATGATTAGTCTTCAGATCTACAGGAGGATGCACATATCAATCAGATGATTATGGAAAGAATGAAAAGGACTTGAATAGCCTAGAAAAGGATAAAGGAAATGAGGAAACAAAACACATTCATGGTTTAATATAGTCACACATTCAGATGATGCAGATGATAATAAGGATGAATAATACGGTCATTATCAAGGCAATGCAGGGGCATTGGAACATGTAATTGATTGGAAGCTCAACTTAGGCTTCGGAAATGAACGTGAAAAGAAACAAATTCATCTATAAGAAATTGCACGATACAGGTTATCAAGGCAGCTAAAAGAGTAGCTCTAGAGCAGGCTTTCGATTAACCTGGGGAACACAAACAATTGCGGGTAAAAAATAATGATTCGAGTCAATCACCATCATGTGTTTGCATGAAACAGAAACTTGAAAGAAAAAGGGTAAGTTGAGGCACGGTGGAGGGAGATTTACTGTCAGCGAATCGAGAAGACAGGGCAGAGGCGGCTCCATTGAAATAAGTGGACGCCATCAACAGTCCAACAGAAGACAGGACAACTTTCCGCCGATGGACAAGAGGAGAAAAGGCTGGCCTTGGAGTTTCATCTTCAGCAAGTGAAAACCCTAGTGGTACACATGAAATCATCAAGGATAGAGAAGAGACTGTTTAGTAACGTAGGCTCGTACTCAAAAAGATTGCAAAATGAGAAACAAATGAAGCAGAAGGAGCCAAAAAAATAATTCCTTTGAAGAAGAAGAAGAAACAGATTATTTAAGGTAAGATGCCTCCAACGTTGAATTCCTTATTGTTTTGCTCTCTTTTTGAATGCACTTGGTCAGTCTGTTTTCATCAGCTCATTTACGTTTGTCAAAGGTAAGATCGACAAGCAGTGGAAGTATTGCATCGATTAAGCAGATCAACAGTTAGAAAGGGACAGTGGGGAAATAACCTGCTGCAGGTTGGGATGGGGAGGGCGTCAGTGGGGAGGGGCGTTGTGATGCTCTGAAGCTTGGGCGTGTGCCAGTGCCGCCACTGGAATGTAAAAATATTTGATCCCATTGGAATTTAGATTCTTTCATTTGGAAGCGCAAAGCACTTTCTACGATTAAGTGAAACCGCAAGAAACCAGAAGAAGAATGCGGACAGCTTAGCTTTACGTACCCAGGATGAGGATGGTGATGGAGATGCTGAAGCACCAACGTTAACATTTGAAACAGAAATGACGGCAGAAATGCACGCCATTTTCCTCTTCACCTTTGTCACCTACTACTGATCGCCGATGGGTATCTGATTGCTACAATTTCTCCAAGACGGGAAGAAAGAAAAGGCAGTTTCTATTCTGTTTTTCAGGCGTAGACCAACTTAGGAGGAGAGGAAACGCTTTGCAGGGGGGCGACAACGACCTCAGCTTTTGTAGCATCCACTCGTACCTAATCTCACCATTGTACCCCCGACCTTTTATCGTATGGTTCACACTGAGTCCGGGGTTGCAACTGCAGTTGGACCATTACTATTTGGTCTCCCTCTTTGTCGTCTGTTTCCATTCTGATTTCTATTACTAGCAGTAATATTTTCTCCCATCCTTCATTTCATTAACCAAACCTGACAAGCTAGACAACTAAAATGAATGAACATAATTTTCTGTTTAGAAGCTGATTTGAATCCCACGAAGTTCATTTCATAAGAACGAAACTCGTACAAGAAAACAAGCATCGCAGGACAGTTGACAGTTACCCTCTGTCAGAACTGTTGGAACTCTTTCTCGCAGAGCAAGAGGTGCAGCGCATTGGCAAATAAAAATTCACCACCCCAAAGAACAGCCACTGGATAACGAACCCCGTCTGGGGATATTACAAAGTAGTACAGTACTGCAAAAATGTCCATATTAAAGCACAACCATACATAATATCATCACAGCTCAACACAACACCATCCTCTTACAAGTTACACCGCACACATCAAACATTTATTCGTCTTTACAGCACCCCTTTATTTAATTTTGTTGTTCATTGTTCCAGCGTAATTGTAATTCAACATCGCACAGCGCTTACAGGCTCACTAGATTGAGAGAATTTGCCTTCTCTTGCAGACTGTCAAGCAAGCTGTCAAAGCTCTTCTTAAAAGAATCCACTCCCTCAAGCTCAAGTTGAGAACCCACGTAGCTCCACGCGATTCCCAACTTCTCCAAGGCACTATAAATACCCTCTGCTTCGGACACATTTGCGTCAATCGTCCTTCCGACAGTACCATGGTCAATGAATGCTTGAAGAGCTTGATCCGGCATGGTGGATACCTATGTTGTCAAAATGGTTAATAAACCCACACTATCTTTACAAATGGATTGACATGATCTCGTCCACAAGACTTGGCACAATTAGATCACAAATTCCCATTCAAAAGCTTTCCCTTGGTCCACAAATACCAGAAAGGACAAGGTACAACGTGATAAGAATTTAACTTACCGTGTCAGGTCCAATGAGAGGTGCCACGTATAAAGTATCAGGGTATGCCGGATTCTTCACACTGGTTGAAGCCCACAGCAGCCTTTGCTTCTTGGCACCTTTCTTCACCAAAGCCTCCCATCTTGGACCAGAGAACTTTTTCTGGTAGACCTGGTAGGCTAGAGCTGCTTGAGCATTTGCAGCCTGTAACGGGTGTTAGTCAATGGCACAGATTCCACAAGTTGCAGCATAACCCAGAAGAATTTGCAAAATCTAGAAGTTCCTATATAATTACCTTCCCACGGAGATCAAGAGCTTCAGGAGTTCCAATTTTCTCGAGCATCTTGTCAACAAGGGTGTCTACTCGACTAACAAAGAAGAAGCAACACTTGTAACTCGAGAGAGATCAGATAGTCCAGAGGCCTCTAGGCCATCCAGGTAAGCATCAATAACTGCTTCATATCTAGCAAGAGAGAATATGAGCTGTTTGTCCAAAAACGAAAAAAAAAATGTCAACAACCCAAAAGAATTTCGTAGCACAACTAAGTATAGTAAGTAACACAAGCAAAAGTTCTTCACTTTTCTTCCTCAAAGATAATGTTCATGTGGTCAGGGGCTCTCCATCAACTCAGGCTTATTTTCTATCAGCCTCCTCATAGGGCAACAATTTAATTAGGGATCATCTTAGGGGACTACACTTCCCAGAACTAGATTATATTGTCTCTGGGTCTGGCCTCCTATTGTAACTTCAAGCTTTACAAAAGTCAAACCAATCCTCAAGCTCAAAAATGCAATCTCACCACTTAGTAATAATAACTACAGAGGTGGACAAGATAAACTAAATGATGCCAGTGCAGGTTCTTCCCACCATTGTTGGAAGCCAATAAGACTTTAAAATGGTACATTACCATATATGAGGACCTCATGCAAATTCAATAAACATGTTACATTAGCATATTATTTCTTATTACCAAGGGATACCTGATAAAAAATCAACCTACCGTAACATTCACGCTAATTCCTGATGCAATCACTTCCTTGATTGAGGGGATGCATGGAGCAGTAGCAGGAATCTTGATGTAAACATTAGGACGCTGAACCTTTTTATGAAGCCACTTTGCAGCTTCTATAGTCCCCTGAGTATCATCAGCAAGTCCAGGTGACACTTCGACAGACACGTACCCATCACCACCATCAGTTTCATCATAAATTGGCTCAAAGAGTTTGCATGCATCCTGTATATCCTTCACAACAAGTTCCCAATATGCACTTTCAATGTCTTTTCCAGCTTGCACAAGTTCCTGCAAAAGTATTTGTGTATTTGATCTTAGGATATTGGAACAGAAAGATTAAGCCCAGTTAACGTCAGTATTATGCGACATAAGAACCAAGCAATTCCCAACTTCACGAAGGTTTACTACAAACACCAAAAACTATTAGCTACTAAACTCCCTGGTCCCCATCCCCGTAGAAAAGAACCATTAGAGAACAAAGGGAGAGAGAGAGAGAGAGAGAGAGAGAGAGAGAGAGAAGTTTAACTGACCGTTGCTGAGATAACACAGAAAAGAAGTAAATAGCACCAAAAGCATGGGCAAATGGTCATTAATTACTTGGAAGGGGAAGTGAAAAGTTTTACCTGAATTGTTCATTATAGGCATTTGAAGTTGATATAGCCTTCTGAAAGATCTGCAATCAAGATATCAGCAAATAATTAGGTAAATGAAACCTGCAGGGAAGATCAACACCATTTTTTTTTTTGCTTTTAAATCAGGTAATTCTCCACCACTGTTTCTTCCTGATGGCACAAACAGTAGAATTACGAACATTTGATTTGGTAAAGAAGATACGCATATGGGTAATTTACCGCTGGATTACTGGTCACGCCCCTGACACCACTTTCAATCAGTGGAAGCAGATCTGTTACAGGACGGCACAAGTTATCGTACCAAGGACTTTGCCCTTGCTTCTCATAAAGGTCATGAAGTGTCGTTCCCTTGACATGACTCCCGTTTCCATCAATTTGGGAGCACCTGACACTGTTAACAAACTTATCGTAAAGACCACAAAAATAAGTACAAATTGCAGGAGCAATAGAAGTTCACCAACAAAGAGAATAGCGTACAATGGTAAGCTTAAATGTGCATGGGTATGCTATTATTATCTAATGGAATCAGTAGCATAGCACAATACCCACAAGCAAATGCACCAGACCCAAAACTGATATGGGCTTGGCTAGCTTACTCTCTGTTTTTCCCCTATCTTTTCCATTCTGAAATTCATCCTTGAAACTTTTTTCTCCCTTTCATTTGGAAGAGGGAATTTTAAAGAAAGCAAACCCCTAAAAATCACCAACCTCCTGGAAATTTATGCCAACGGGACATAAGGTGTCACCCTCGCTGTCAATATTGCTCTAGTGTCAACCACTAAAAGGTCAAATACATTAAGGACGGGTCTTCTCACGCTAAAATCATTGGAAAACCAAAAATAGGTTCAAGAATCAAGGATCTACTTAACATTGTTAAGAAGAGAACAAGAATAATAGAGTGACTCGTAAAAGTTAATAAGCTTATGAAAATAAGCAGACTTGTTGTGGTGATGGTAGTATTTGGGAATCTGGGAAGGACAGGTTTGTCAGGAAAAAAAAAATGATACTAATGCTACTAATACTCAGAAAATAATACCAATGCTAAAAAACATTGAACAGCTTGACAATTTTATTTAAAAGAAGAGCAAGTTCAAATGAAGGTTGCCAATAAAAAAAAACGCTGTATCTGGACATTTCACATTGACGGACAACAAGAAGTTCTAAAAACACTACGAAAGTAGTACTTTATGATAATCTCATTTAGAAAGTGCTGCTACATGAGAAATCTGATAGATCTTTCATCGTCTATTGTACTTGACAGGAATTTGATAAATCTGATTCTCTATCCTTCCTAAGTAGACAAGATGGCACCTTTAAGAGGTGCCGCAGTGCTAAAACGGAAATAATTTGTGAACACGTGTTTAAATACTAGGAAGCAAAAAAAAAAAATGGAGCTTTTTGGAAGGGAGAAGAAGAAGAAGAAGATCAGAAGACTTTATATTAAGAGCAATAACTTTTTATACTTTACTAAGAACCAGAGAAAGGATCTGGACTGGACCAGAGTGATCGCGGGGAAAAAAAATCAAACAAGAAGCTTGAGAAATGTAATGGAAATACTAGCAAAATTAACAGCATCATGGTCATGAATCAGAGAAAGGGCGTTGAATGGATCAAGAGGGAACCTAGAAAACAAAGAAAAATCAAGACGCTGTCGGGATTGGGGTGTACAAACCCACCCTGGTATTACAATGATTGATTGAAGGAAAACACAAAAGCGTAAAAAATTGCTAGTCCAATATGAAGCAGATATGATGAGGAATCATAATATGTAGCAGAAATAGAGAAGAAAAATAAAAGAAAAAAAGAAAAGAAAAGGTACTAGTTGACAATATGTGTGTGTGTGTGTATATAAATATAAGAGGAGGTAGAAGAAGACGTACAGCAAGGAAGGAGCGATGATGGGCGGGTGGGCCGGATGGAGAGGTTGGAGGAGGAAAGGCAAAGGGCGTTGGTATTGGTATTGTTGGGAAGAAAAAGGCACAAGGATCGGATTGTTGGAGATGGCTGAGAAGAAGAGGATGTTGAGAAATGAGAAGCGGTGGGAGGCGTTGAAAGCTTGGAAATGGAAGCCATCAAAAAGAATTTGAAGGATTTAGGTGGAGTGTGTGTGTGTGAGAGTTTTCAGGATGATTTTGGTAAATTTGATAGCCGCCTAAGTAGGAGTAGGAGGAGACCGGAGGAGGACTACTTGCTTCGATCCACTGCGGCCAAAACAAACAAGCGGAGGAGGAAGGCCGCTGCGGTGCTTTGGTCTTCTGGTGGCTATTTGGTTCTTAGCGGTATCCCCAACAATTCACAGTACCCTGATGGATTCCCCAACAAATTAAAAGAAGAAAAGGACCATAAAAAGGATAATTCTGCAGCAAATTCAAGCTTAATGATTGGGATTAGGATTAGCAATTGACGGCCAGCCAGCCAGCCCCCATATGTAGATGCACTTGTATATATTACTATATTAGTAGTACTAATACTAGTATCAAAAACGGATTAGTAGTATTGTTTTAGTGTACATTTGGTTCGATAAAATTGAAGTCTAAATTTATTAAATTATTGAATATTAAATTTAATACATTTAAATGCATATCGCTTTCAGTAATAAATGGTGAATAATTTATCACGGCAAATTTTATCTAAAAAATTCAGTGCATTTAATATCCGAATCCATTTAGTACAGTAACAGCATTCCTAAACAAAGGCATTGTCTGGTTACAAAGTCGCCAATGGAAATGTTGTGGAGTTTTTTTTCCTTTTTTTTTTTTTGGAAAATGTTGGTGGGGGGGTTGGTGAGCAGCTGCAGCTGAGGTCTATCAATATAATACAGGTAACAAGAAGTAAAAGGGTTAATAACACTTTGGCCCTCTCAATAAAAACAATAAGTATTATAATCATTCCCAACCCGTTTTAATCGAAATTTCTTTCAGTAATCGAGTTTGAATAGTGATTTCAAAACTGTTTTATCAAACCTTAGAGTTTCAACATGAATGGATTTTTATCCCAAAAGATAAGAAAGGCTTACTGTAATCCTCAGTCATCCAAATATATATCCTTTATATATATATATATAATAATAAACACAAAAAGGCTTGACGTGGGCCGCGTGCGCGCTTCCATTCGAGTGTTGCGCGTTGGTGGCACAAAACGAATTAATTAATTAGGGTGGCGTGCCGACTGCCCAGCTCATTTTGTCATAGTATGAGGGTGGATGAGGAGTCCGCAGGCCAAGCCCATAAGGAAGTATTCGGTGTGGTGCTGGGCTCTGGCCAATTGGGCTTCCATCTGAGAAACGACTGCTACTAGTGCTAGTGCGAAAATCTTGTTGCTCGCCACAGTCCACACAAATCACCTTATATTATATTATATTATACCACGGGGGGAAAGCCCGCGCTAAGTGCGGGAGTTTTAATCTGTGTGATGAAATATTTATTGAAATAAATTTATTAAAAAAATATATTAGAATTAGAATTGAATGGTAATAAGTTTAATTGAATCAGTCGAAGTGCATAAAATTATAAGTAAATTGGTCAAATCAACAGACTTATAAAAAAAATTAATTTATAAGCAAAAGAAATTCGATTATCGTAGATAATCATACCATACCGTTATAAATAATAATCATAACAAAAACATTACTGCCTTTGTTATTATACTATTATAACACAGTCATGCCCATATCCAATCAACAATTAACATTCAAACCATAAGGTCAGATTTAGATCCTACTTTGATCATGAAATTGTAGTCAAAAGATAATCTTTACTCACAATTTGACCATCTACAGCCGCAAACATCAAATTTTGGAAATATAATTAGAAAATATAGGAAGGTTCCTATTAGTATTCATAGGTATATATCATGTATTCCATAATGAAATTTTCATATTTATATAATAACTACTGAAAAAATATTGCAGTAGAAAACTCACAATTTTTGTTGTATCAGCTAAACATATCAAATTGCATAAAGAAAAAAAAAACCCATGAGCATACCTGTCCAAACATCACAACAAAATATGGAGTACAAGCACTTGAAGCAACATTCTTCAATATAAAAACTTATATTATTGTCAGAAAGCTAAAGAGTACTGCAATTATACTTGTAACATATTGAAAATATGAATCAGAACCAATCATCTTTATTATTAAGAGCTTCCAAACCCAATTATCTTTAGCATTAACACCTTCTCTTATTATACCTATAAAAACAATCTAGTAACTATAGAAGAAGATGAAAAGCATTACAATTACTTATAAATGATTTAAACAGCACTTGAAAGTTTGATAATCACGTGGAATACAAATCAATTGCATATGAGATGACACAATAGTTAAACCGTACTCAATTACATATTACAATGTGATGCATTTGGATTAATAACTTGTATTTGATTTTTTTTATGCCTAATTACCCAACAGTGACCTATAAACTCTTTTTTACATATATATATGAGCAAAATATCCGGTTGACCACTAAACTTTTGCGATCATTGAGTTTTGGTCACTCAACTATTAAAAGTCCGATTTTAGCCACTAAAATGTATAAAATTAAGATACGAGGTCATTATGTTAGATTTAGCCATTAAGTTCTTTGATCTATTTGTCAGCACGATTTCCAAGACAAAAGAATGAGTCAATATGGGAAGTTGAAAATAGCACTTGCACCTCTTGAAAATTTAAGAGGGTACTCTGAGCTTAGCTCTCGAACAAATTGAAGCTCCCATCCTCACAATAGATCCAACAGCTGGTCTTTATTTGACATTGAAATTGAAGAACTAGTTGACCCAAAGGACGAGCTACTCTCTAATACCAACGATTCCGGCACAGCCCCACTAATTTCCTTAGCCTCAGCACCATTATTACTCATGCTTTTAGTTGGATTCTCCAAGGCTGCATTACAATCTGATCTACCCAAAATATCCAAACCCATTAGTCCCTGACCCAAACCAACAGCATCAGCAGACTGACCCCTCTGAACAATCCTCATGTTATTCAGAGCATCAGAAAACCACGAGTCAGCTTTCAGATCAAAAAGCACTGAACTCGGAGACTCTGGCTTTATGGGGAAGCGAAATAATCTGATGCACGATGGTGTAGGGGATGTAACGGCGGAGATGCGGTTGTGCTCTTCCAGCATATTCTGAAGGTCGTCATTAGTGGTGATGGAGATGAGTGAATCGAGGTCTTTGTTTGGGAGTTGGGACTTCAGATGACACGAGCAGTTGTCGAAAAGGGTCTAAGAGAGGTGGGTGGTGAGGGCGTAAATGGATGAGCAGTCCATGAACAAATTCATGGCATCTTGCTCATGAACAAATTCGCTGATCTTGCTTTTTTTTTTTTGTTCCTTAATAATTAAATTTGGGCTAACATGGATATAGATTGAATGACTGGATTGTGGGATATCTCACTATTATCGATCGTCCCTCTTCTTCTTATTATTCTTTTTTTTTTTTTGGTTTTTGGGGCGCCGGTGGTTTATCTGCACTCCCTGTGTAGGTTATGGTTAAAAACTAAGCGGTGATAATGACTCAGCAGCCGACCCTATGACACATCGCCATTGCCCAATCCTATTGAAATTAATTCAATTAGAAGACTAATCCATTGCCTTCCAGTGTTTTGTTGTTGTCATTGTAGCAACAACTACTAAATTATCTCTAACAAAGTGTGTGCGGTGCGGTGCCGAGACTAAATTATTCCTAAATTGACTCTTTCCTTTTTCTTGAAAATCGCGCGAATAGACGGATCAAAGAACTTAACGGCTAAATCTAACAGAATGGCTTCATGTCTTAACTTTATACATTTTAGTGTGGTCAAACCAGATTTTTAATAGTTGAATGACCAAAATTCAACGATCGTAAAAATTTAGTGGCCAACCGGATAATTTGCTCTATCTCTATATATATAGGACACCACGCCATACAAAAGTCCACAAGGTTGAGCGTTGGGAAGCCCAAACCGCCCATCATGGATGCAATGTACACCAAGCTTAAAAGTAACTGTGTTGAAGCTATTGGACAATCTTCTTCATCTTCATGACATTTCACTGCTATCAACAACAAGCGAAGAAAGAAACTTAGATTTTGTTTGGATTAACGGTGTCAACAGGTCAGATTTGGACCCGATTCGATGGATAAAATTTTTCAAACTTGAATTGAAAAATAATTTTTATACTCGGAGCTGAACCCATTTACTCTAATGAAAAAAGGGTCGGATACAAAATATGTGATTTCGATCCGTATCTGATCCGAACCTGAAGAATATATTAATAATTATAAAATATAAATTTTTTAAACTTGGATTGAAAAATAATTTTGATACTCGGAGCTAAAACCCATTTATTCTAATGAAAAAATGGTCGGATACAGAATATGTGATTTCAATCCGTATCTGATCCGGACCTGAAGAATATATTAATAATTATAAAATATAAATATTTCTAAATATATTATTTTACAAAATTAACAATTTAGTAATGACTTTGTAGATTGATTAGTGGTTAGTTTTGAATTGATCATTGCAAGTTATTTGCGATTTAATTTTGTAATTTGATTTGTTTAAATTTGAAGATTATATTTGTGATTAATTTTGGAGTTTTTAAATTTGAGCCTCTTCTTTCCGAGAAGATCTGTGATCCGACCCGAGGCGGATCCAATTTTAAAACTTTAAGGTCAAGATCTTTTGGATATATGGATCAAGCCCGAATCTACTGTATAAAAGCGGATTTGGATTCGAAATTTTTAATTTATATCTGAATTCGGCCGGTTGACAAATTTATTTTCTTTTCTTTATTACTACTACTATTGGCTCCGTTTGGATTAGCTGTTTTTTGGATTGTTTTTCTAAAACAGCACTGTAGCATTTCGTTTTTGAAATACAAGTCCGTTTGAATTAGTTGTTTTTGGAGTTGTTCTTCAAAAACTATATGAAAAACTTCTATTGCAAATGTTTTTTGGATTATTTTTAGAGGTATTTTTAAAACATATTTTTGAGTATTTTTATAATTTATAATTTTTATATTTATATACATTTATGCATTTATAATACATTTATAAATAAATATATTTATATAAAAATATATAAATGTATTATATTATATATAATACATAATATAAATATATTTATAAATGTATAAGTGTATATTATTATAGATGTATAAATTATAAATGAATATTATATAAATGTATAAAATTAATATATTATAAATATATATTAATATTATGTATAAACGTATTAATATAATCAATATAAATGTATAAAATATTTAATATTATGTATAAATGTAAAATTAATATTATGTATATTAATATAAATGTATGAATGTATTATATTATATATAATATATAATATAAATGTATATTATAAATATACATTAATATATATATTATGTATAAATGTACATTTATATAAATGCACAATATATATATACATATAATATATATATTATATTATGTATAATTTATATAATATATAATATTTATATAAATATATTATAAATAGATAAAAATATTTTTAAATAAAATAAAATATTTATAATATGTATAAATAAATATATAAATATTTAATATATATAATATACATTAATATTAATTATAAATATTATAATATTATAAATATGGTGTTTATATAATATTTCAATTTGTAATATTTATTTTATATTTCATTAAATAAATATTTATATATATATAATATGTAAATATATAATTTTCAATTTGTATAATATACATAATATTGTATATATATAATATAATATATTATACATAATATACATTATTACATATTAAGTATATAATATACATTATTACATTATTACATATTAAGTATATTATATTATATTATGTGTAATATATAATATTATGTATAATATTAATGTATACAAATATTTATATAATATATAATATATAATATATAATTTTCAATTTGTATATTTCAATTTATATTAATATAATATATATAATATACATAATTAAAATATACAAGTGGTATATTCAAGTGAGAATTTCCATTTCTATAGGTTTATTCAAGTGGTAGCCGTAAAATAAAGCCCAGAGCAGAGAAAAAAGTGGCAAAAGGCGGCGGGGGGTGGAAGAACTGTGAGACAGGTAAAATATGTCGTATGCTAGCCTTGTAGTTGCTTCCAGGAGTACGGTAGTACATGCTCCTGACTGACTGCAGGGGCAGGTGGTGGAGGATGAGGAGGGAAAGAAAGCCAGAAAGGGGAAGAGGATGGAAGTTTCCAACATTGACCAGGATTTTTTGACGGACGATTCCACCATTTGTCGCTTTTGTCATCCCCACAAAAATTAAAAGACCTCTGCGTCTCTCTATCTTTCCCTTATCTCTCGTATCTTTCCCTCTTCCTCATGCTACCTACTTTGTGGTTTTTCCATTCATTAACGGCGGCCCGCAGTAGTCATCACCATTCACAGTAACAACAACTAGTACTACTATTTATTCCTACCTAACAGTAGACCACCGGCATTCAATTCTAACCGGCAAATTTCTCCCAACTCCCTCCTCCTCCTCCTCCAAACCCTCCACTTGGATCCCCAAAAAAAAAAACAGCATCAGCAACAAGAATAATAATAGAAACAGCTGCTGAACTTTTCCTCCTGATTTTCTCTCTAAATTTTGGGTCCAATAATAGAGCTGGGAGAGAGAGTCATCGAAAAACATGAGTTCCTATCTACGCCAGAAATTCCGATTTTCTTCTATCTGGTCGTCGTCTTCATCATCATCGGAAGAGGAAAAAGAGACTGAGACTGAGAGGGAGCAACTGGCACCTCTAGAGCATCAGGTGCAAGAAGAAGAAAAAGATCAGCAAGATACCTCCAAACTGGACGAGATCGAGAGGACTAAAATCAAGGTCATGAGAGACCTGGTCCAAAGACAGGATCCCTCTTCCAAGGTCAAATCTCTTTCTTCTCTTGTATAGTGGGGTAGTGCCGTAGTTACCTCCCCCTCCTCTTTTTCATCTCATTTCATTCACCTTTTACGTTTGCTTAATTCCAAGAATTGATGACGTTCCCCATCATCTTTACTCCACTCAACCAAAACGAAGACACCTCATGGAGTTCGCGGGAAATGGGGGATTTGAGTGCTTGTTTTGAGCAAAAACTTTACAAATCTAAAGTATACAACGTTCATCTCTCTCTCTCTCTCTTTTTTTTTTTTGTAACTCCCATGTGAAGTGAAGGTTTACTTGAGTACCTCATCAATCGAGTTAAAGGTTAACTGACTGCACCAAAATTAGTGATCCAAACATAGATATATATGCCCTTTCGCTGACTCTTGGCTGAAATGAAAATGCCAACACATGCGCCCATCTTATGCAAAGAAGAAACTTAAACTAGTAAATGGATGTCTTCGTGGTAAATATGGTGATTCATATCCCGTACATGTTCTTTTTTTTCTGCTTCAACTTAGCGTCTGCCTGGTTTTCAGATCATTCAGAACTACTCTCGAACTCCTTTTGCAGGACGTGGATGACTTTATGATCAGGAGATTTCTCAGAGCTCGTGATCTCGACATGGACAAGGCCTCAACTTTATTTCTCAAGTACTTGAGCTGGAGAAAAGAATTTGTTCCAAATGGCTCCATATCTCCATCAGAAATTCCAAATGAGCTTGCTCATGAGAAATTGTTCATGCAAGGACATGATAAGTTGGGGCGTCCCGTTGTGGTGGTCTTTGGTGGACGTCATAAACCCAAGAATCTTGAAGAGTTCAAACGTATGCACTAACCAAGAACCTAGATTCATGGTTCGATTTGGCAAGTTTGTAATGTTTTCGGTCGCAACATTCTCTTTTACTCCTTGCCTGAATGAATGTCTCCATTTACTAACTAAATTGAGTATGATTCCGAGGCCAACCATCTTTGTCTTCATTGCCCATCACTTAGGCATCTAATATACCATGCTGCATATATATTTTAGGGATTATCAATGTTCTGCTAAATTTCTCTCTCATTTTTCACAGGTTTTGTTACTTTCAGCCTTGACAAAATATGTGCTAGGTAATACACTTCAGCTAATAGAAATTTTCATGCCTGTAGTCACGATACCATTTCTTCTGTGGAAAATGAATTAGTGGCATAAATATTAAAGGATTTCAATCAGTTCAATGCTCTCTCTCTCTCTCTCTCTCTGTGACACAAACAACTTCTAAGGTGAAGGAACTGAAGATGTTTTATCATCTTAACTTTCTTGCAATTGGCTTTTTCTTGGTTATGCTTGAAAACGGCAGAATGCCAAGTGGACAGGAGAAGTTTGTTTGCATTGCTGACCTTGAAGGATGGGGTATACGAACAGTGATGTTCGTGGTTACCTAGCAGCTTTATCCATTCTGCAGGTTACACGTTTAGCTTACGATCAAATAACAAATCAATTTGGCGCATCGATCATTTTTTTTAATACTGTGATATGTATACCATGAACAACATAAATAGCTCAAAAATTTATTGTCGCTCACCCCGAATTTCAGGATTGCTATCCAGAGAGGCTAGGCAAGCTATTCATAGTCCATGTACCTTACATCTTCATGACTGCATGGAAGGTTGTCTACCCATTTATTGACAGCAAAACAAAGAAGAAGGTACTGGTGTTTTCTCATCCTCTCCTCCTCCTTTTTTATTTTGAGATTTGGCATGTGGGACAGTTGGTAGGAGGAAGGAATTGGGAATGCTGATTCCACCATTAATTGCTATTAGATACAACCATATTATCCTGAATCCTCCATCTCGATTAATAGCTTGAGTAATTTGAGGTTGGATGTGCTGACAGTTGGTGGCAAGTCAATATCAGATATCCCACTACAAACACCACTACAAAGAAAAGAGCCCCAAATTACAGAAGGGAGATCATGATTGTAGCGAAAATTAGACCCTTAAACTAAAATTTTAAAAAATAACTAAATAAATAAAAGCTTGTGGCCTTCTTGAATATGTAGAGGATAATTAAATTTCTTTTGCATTTCCGAGTCCTGTGCTTGAGCATACTGAGTTGCGGATCCTTGGGAGAAAAACTTGTCAACGTGCATAACCTCGTATTGTTTTCATAACATCTCACGATATATTATCATCGGTTGTGGATTAATTTTTCTGGTCATCGTTAGCTAACTCTGTTTCTGATCCGCACATCTGTAGATTGTATTCGTTGAGGACAAAAAACTAGGATCAACCTTGCAACGTGACATTGATGAGAGTCAACTTCCGGAGACATACGGAGGCAAACTACCACTAGTTGCAATTCAGGATTGCTGAATGCAGATATCCGATGATCTTTACCTAGTCTTTTCTGCTTAATTGGCTTCACTTGTTGGAGGTGCAGAAATCTCACGTCTGTCCCCGCGGAGCAAAACTTCAGTCCTATCCTATGGCATCATCAGCATATAGATAAATTTGTTGGTGTCGGAACATCTTTTACTGCACCATTATTCTTTTAGTAGGCACCCGTTATAATTTTACTGAACCACGAAGGGACGTCTGTTGTCATTATAGTAATACGTATACGATTTGCTTAACCAGCTGATCTCGGCTTTTGAACTTCATTATGTACCCATTTACTTCCAACTATAATAACACTCAATAGCAACTTTTGTTTTGTAAATCGTTTCTTCAGGCGTTGTCCCATCTGGACCTGTTGTATTATCGCTTCTGACGCCAAGTCGGTGCTAAATTAATGCTTTACTGCATATCTGTGTAACTTGATAAGTAGAGTGCTCTCTTAAATCCGCAATGTAAATTCATTCAACCTTAGAACCTTCGCTGGTGATCCAAAAAGGTCGTACGACGGGACACGTTTCTTGTCTCGCAGGAGCTCTAAGCTATGGTACAAAAAGGTAGAACGCCCCAACACTTGCTTTTGTTTCACAAGAGCTGTCCTGTATTACCCACACTTTTGGCCGTCATTCATCTTTTCTTTTGAACAAACAAACGCAGAAGCTATTACTTTCAATTCCATAAAATTTACACAGGTTTGTTCAAGCATACTTGCCTAACCTGCTGTGGCCGCTCGTCCCTCGCTGATATCCTGTTTCAACCGAAAAATGAGGTCAACTTAGACCTCGTGCACGTTATTGCAGGCCCTTAAACCGAGGCTGAGCCCGTGCATCTGTTCTCTAATACTTTCATCATAATCACTTGAAAGCAGGAATAGGTCGCCATAACAGAAGGGTGTAACTTAAAATAGAAAAACAACATATTGAAATTGCCAGACATGAAGGCAATACTGTCAACCTTCAGAAGATCTGTTGATAAGATAAAATGCACAGTAACACATAATATAGTAATACATCTCAACCTCTATTTATTTGACAGAGTATATTCCCTACAGAAGCCAGCTGAATTATTCAGGATGGCAAGGCAAGGCCCTGCCTGGACTGGCAAAAACAAAATCCTTATCAAGTAAATTATAACTAGAATGGCACAAGTAAAAAAAAAAAAAAAAAAAAAAAAACAAAAGAAGAAAGCCATAAGGAGTGAGAGAAAAATAAATCATGCTCTATCTGGTCTTGAGCACGCCAAAACATTAGAACCAGTTACAGTTGTCTTTCTGTAGAAATTCATGGTAAACCCTCAACCAATAAGTAACTTATTCTCATCCAAGAAAGTGTATGTTGGCACCTCCAAATTGTATGGTGCAGGTCCTTTGCGAATTCTACCAGAGATGTCGTAGTGAGACCCATGGCAAGGGCAAAACCAGCCACCAAAATCACCAGCATTTGGCAAGGGAATACACCCCAGATGGGTGCATACTCCAATAACTACAAGCCATTCAGGTTTCTTCACCCTAAGAGCATCCTCTTGTGGATCACGCAGGGAGCCAACATCAATGCTGTTAGCCAGTTTGATGTCATCCTCAGTCCGATGCCTAATGAATACTGGCTTCCCACGCCACTTGACTGTGACTGTAGTGCCAGGCTCAATGCTGGATAGATCCACCTCAAGAGAGGCAAGTGCAAGAACATCCTTACTGGCAGACATGCTCAGAACAAACTTAAGTATCAGAAGACGAATCAATGAGGCATAAACAAACCTGCCTCCAGTTAAAACAAAGTAAGCAAATGCACGTTTACTGGGGTCACCAGGAAGATAGCGCTCATGGTTGCACTCGTCATACACAATTTTTGCGCTCGGATTCTTAATAGCTGCAACTGTAGCTGGGAGGTCTTGGACTAAACCAATATCATGCGCTGAGGCAAGAGAGTCAGAAGAAAGCCCTGGAGGAGATTTGCCAATCATTAAAAAGTTACTCATAGCAGCTGGTATAAATTGATACTAGTCAAAACACTATCCAAAGAACCAAACGGAATTGTGCATTCACTTTCATCTTGATTTGTAACATAATGGTTTACTTAAAAAATCCAACAGCAAATAAAAGTTGGACAGTTGACAACTACCAAGCCCAATTCCCCTCACTCTCTCCTCTTTTGAGAGAGAACAAAATTTCCAGAAGAGAAATTCTCTGTCCAAAATTTTAGCCCAACAAAAATTCCTCTCACACCCTAATTAAAAAACTAGTACATATCAAATATCTAAACCATGCCTTCAGAACAATGAAAAATTGTGCAGGACGCATGTGCAACAAGCATTTCATATAATGTCACCCAAAGCATCATGTCATGTCTTCAGAGAAATTAAAAAATTGTACACAGAGCATGTAGCAAACAGGCATTGCATATTCATTATGTAAACCAGAGGATCAAAAGACCCATTTAACTGAATAAAACCCATTTAAGCAGTACATGACTGATAAAGGTACAGCTCATCAGGTCATGAATAATAGCATTCAAGATGGACATTACTCTGCCAAGATCGGTATAATTGAAATAGATGACCACACAACATTGTGAAACATAAACAAAAATGCCCTCAACGAGGTCCAACTTCAGCCTATATGTTATTCAAGGTAATTCATCTTTAATGAATGAGGTTGAGACAAGAACAATAAAAAAAAAGATGCTATGTATGTTATACAATCTCTTGCAAAACTAATTGCGCAATTTTACCAGTAGAAAAACCAACCATTAGGTGCACACAGCAGTGCAGAAAATAGACCACAACTCATCCCATAAAAATACATGAATGCAAAGCTGCAGGAGGTACATTCCAAAAGGGAACAGCTATTTCAACATGCACGTATATTTACTCAGTATAAAGACCAAGTATCAGCGCAACTTTCAAAGATAGCTAGTCAAATATGTAAAAGAACCAGGGAGGAAATGAATTATTGTCATTTTACACAGCCCATCACATTCATATGAGTATAATTTTAGTTCATTTGCTTTTGCTATTATTTCTTTTCTCAACATTCTGAAATCCGAAGAAGAAGAGCATAAAAATAAGCGCCAATCAGATGTGAAATAGAGAGAATCTACTCCTTCCCCATTAACTTGAGATCATATTTATGAGCTTGTTTGTATGGCACCGCAATGGTTAGGCCGTAAAAGATGCACCAGGGTCTCTCCTAGCTCCAAACATTAATAACATAAAGCAATCGAACCAGATACCCACCAATTAATTGAAAACAGAAAACAGAAAACAGAAAATGCGAGTTACTAGTATTAAGAAAGATCCGTGATACGAATCCGCATCAATCCGTAAAACAAAAAAAGAAAAAAAAGAAAAAAAGAAAACGGAACAATGGTATAATATTCTGCGAAATGCTTAGAGGTCAAGGGCAAAAGCCAATAAGGAGGAAACCAGGAAGGGGAAAGAAAGTCGGACCTCTGATTTGATGGAAAAAGGCGGAGTGAGAGAGAAGGTGCTAGAAGGAGAGTGGAATGAGGATGATCTGGAGGTATCGGATGAAGGGAAGGGGCCGGGGCCATTGAATAAGGCCGGAGATGCCGATGACGCGGCAAAAGGCGGCCTCCTCCAGGGGAGAGAAGACAGCTTCCTCCCAGCGACTCTCAACATCCTGCTTGATCGGGTCTCTTTCTTCTTCTGATGCCTGCTTTGGCCTAGACTAGGGTTTCGTTGTTCGAAAGACCAAAATCGGAGAACGACCTGAACCCTCCGGAGAGACACGCAGAGAAAAATAGAATTCTGAATCCTGCTCTGGCTGGCTTGGCTGTTTAGCTTTGTTCTGGTTGCCTATTTGTTCTTCTGTATATTAGATATTTAATAAATAAACCGGTGAGAATCAGTCAAAGCCGTCTTAGCTCAGCCGGTAGAGCGCATGGCTTTTAACCATGTGGTCGTGGGTTCGATTCCCACAGACGGCGTTTTTGCCACTTTTTCTATGTTCCAAGTTTATCAGCTCCTCTGAAAATTCCTTGAGCCCTGCTGCGGCCGCGTGACTGTCCGCTACATCTATGAATTGAAATCACCACAGAAGAAAAAGAAAAGAATAAAAGTGGATTTCTGCTCTCATTTTTCCCCTCTAATTCCAAGTTTATGTTTATCGAACCAAGCTCCTCAGTAAATTCATTCCAGAATCCCGCTGTGCCTGTCCACGCACAGCTTCATGAATAAGGCACACCAAATTTATTATTATTAATTTTTTTTTGAAAAAAAAAAAGGTGGAATTTTGTCTGATTCTTTGCCACAGAGAGTAACATATATAATATCTTTCGACTTAAAAGCATAATCAAGAGCATTAAATGACCTCCGTACTATTATATACTCTCTAAAGTGTAGTGGTAAGAAATAGTATACTGAATTTGTTTGGATTGCAATTTATTTATCCATTTCTATTTGCTTGCATGATCAGCACATTTTTTTTTTTTTTAAATTTCAGATACATCAATATAATATTTTTTTTTTCAAAAAATTTTCCCAAATAATCTAACATACACTTAGTGTGTGTGTGTGTGTAATCAAAGAGAGAGAATAATAAAGTGATAATATGACATATAAATTTACGTGTAATCCGTTGTGGATTGTGGATGCCCTTATGGCTTGTGCAAAACAACAAGAAGAATAATTATGTAGTAGTACACATTCCTTCCCAACTTCCATCATCCCAAGACACTGCTCAAAATATTTAGTTGCGTCATCTTACTTCCACCAAGTGGACCGAGGAAGAATTCTAAACTTTGTCCCAAAAATTGCACGTTGATGCTCAAGCAAACCTCCTACTGAGTTAAATACCAGGCTAGGTGTAAGCAGAAACTTGCAACGTATTCAGCCAAGAGGCCCACAAATGAAAAGAAACAAAACTGCGGCTCCAAGTTCCGGCCATCCAAGTTGCTCAATATATGTAATCACTCTGTTGGCAATATGATTCCTATGGGAAAAAAAGAAAAAAGTTCTAGCCATCCAAAATCAGCAAGTCACTCACTCCTCATCTACAGACCCTGAAGAATGAAGTGGGTATGCCTTTAAAATGCCATCCCATGTGCTCTGTCCATCAGTCACCTCCTTGACCACTGCAGCCACATTTTCCATATTAACACGAATTTGATCCTTGCTATCCCTCTCCCGGATTGTAACTGATGACGTTGAATCGACTGTGACCGCAAAGGGCACACCAAGTTCATCTGTCCTGGCATAACGTTTTCCTATGGAAGTGCCTACAAGAATTACACACACATAGGTTAAGCAACTCACAAGCATCATCCCCAACATGTGGAATTGTGAGTGTCATTAGCTTTCCATTGTATGTGGAACAACAGGGCAAGATAAATGCTTTACTTTGCTACAGGAATGTATGGTTTATTCAGCTGCATACCTGTAATGTCAATCTTATGCGAAATTCCAGCTGCAGTCAGTGATTTGGAAATGAATTTTGCAACTTCTTCATATTGCTGATTCTGAACCAGTGGGAACACTGTGCATTTTATCGGTGCCACAAGAGGAGGGAAATCGGAATACATTTAGCTGCTCATCCCCAGCTTTACTTGGCCTGGTGTAGAAAGCGTGCTCGAAAAGACAGTATATAATCCGACCAATCCCAAAAGATGGCTCAATCACAGAAGGAGTAAACACTCTCTGGTGCTCTTTCTTTTTCTCCTTGGAAATAGATACCATGCTTTTCTTAACAGTTACGTTTTTCCCAAGACAGCATATGTAAAACTCTACCTCTCCTTTGGATTCCAAATCAGCCTTCATCTGCAGAGCCACTTTCTCGTCCATCACCTAAATATTAGGAAAAAGGAATTACTGGGTGATTTAACTGCAAAGCTTTCACATAGCCTTGTTTAAGGTTCATGCTGCTGGACTCATAAAACTGGAATCGGCACTGTTATTTCCCTTTATTCATTCATCTGTCAGTATTCTTTCAGCTCGAGAATTTACAAGAAACATCACTTCCATAAACATTTAGGCAAAAAGTATTTTCAAGTGCTCTATGAGATACCTCCAGAGCTTCAGTGACCATCTTTTGGTTCCCTTTGAATGAGTGAGCCTCTTTGCATGTCTCCATTAATGTAAAGTACATTTCCTAATGAAATACAATGGCATTATCCAAGCCATCTTTGATTTTTTTTTTTTTATATATAGATATATATAAAAAAAAAAACAACTAAAGATCCAACGGAGTTATTTTTGAAAGAAAAAGGATCCGTTTATATATCCTCCAAAAAGAAAAAATCTTAATACTAGCTAGAAGTATGCTCTTCTAAAGATGTATGGTGGAAAAAAGATTTTATTATTTTCAAGCTTAACATCTCCTCATAAATTATTGACCGCTAACACACTGATCTTCAGCCATATTACTAATGCCATACTTTAACAATTGCTAATAAAAATTTGAAAGATCATTTAAAAGTTTTGAAAGATCTAAGAAGTTCTTCGCCAAATTGATTTGGTTAAATATTTGGGATATGACCGTGCGCCAGCATTATATCATGGAAACAACATTCCATCTAACCATATGGTTATTCTTTGGAAACAACTGATTCAAAATTTTTCCAATTCAATAGTCCAGTACTTACCTTAACCATTTGCACGCCATATATATATATATATATATATACCTTAAGCATTGACTATGAAAGATTAGACTTATGAACATGTAAATGCATGGTGCTGCGTACAAGGCATGGAGATTCTCCACCAACTATATCCTTTTCATTTTAAAACTATGGTGATTAATCCCTTCTGGTCCTTGTTTGCAGTTTGAACACTTTCTAAAAAATCTTCTAAGATTCAAGTCAGTCCAGCTTTTGCAGTAGCACTGCTAATTTGGAAAATAGGATGAAGTGTTGCAGCCACGGTAAATTTTTATATAGGATCTTGTTCAACAAAAATGAAAAACAAAGTTCTAGCAAGAAAAGATCTTGGGTACCTTTCTTCACACGGTTTATCATATGCATACATGATAATTCTGTAACTAGTGGCAGTTATGTAGTAGCAAAGCAAGGTAATACATGTTTTACAAACCATTGAACTGAATTATGGCAATCTACATTAGCAATGCAGAAGGAGTATTGTTCCCGAGGTTTAAAAAGAAAAACCGTTGCCCAACTTAAACCTTCCAGATTTATAAGAGATGTATGGAAACTTTTTAATGCAGATGATAGTAGTATCTTTTGCTGGTAACTAAGCAATAACCAGTTTAGAGGTTAATGCTCAAACATTAGGATGGAGAGCAAGAAGTTTTTTTTTTTGGGTCAAATTTCAAAGAAAAAAAAATTGAAAATCAGTGGGTATAGCATATATGAAGGACGTCATGTAAGATTACATACTTTAATTAACTACCAACTTAGCTTTTATTTTTAAATGCCGTTGTACTAGAAGTGATTGAGAATAATGAGTGATTTACTGTAGATCAAGTCATCGCTTATATATATATATATATTTAAAATTCACAAAAATTTTTTTTTTTTTTGAATAGCAAGAATTTATAGCTGGCAAATTGCTGCCATACTTGTTGTTGGCACTAATTTATTTACAATGTATATTTGGTTACGTACATACGTAAATATGCACATTAGTTTAATTTTTAATATAAAGGTAGGGTAGGACTGAGGAATGGAAGCAATAGTGAGAGAAATAGTAATGAGATGATTGACGAAGGAATTACGCCAACAGCCACAATACATTGAAAAGTTACTTTCACATAACAAGCAACGTCGACCGGGGATGAAGCAAACAAAGCAAAGCCAACTACAACGACGACCACAACAACAACAACAAGAACAATGAGATCAAGGCTGACCGTTCCAATATTTTTTACGTTTGGGGTTGATGAGGTGATACGTTGTTTTCTCCTAGTCCTAGTATACATTTCTTCACTTGAGCCCTACACTTGAATTACCTCCTCCTGCTGCTGCTGCTATATACATACATACATACATATATATATATGTATGTATGTAAGATGAGCTTATCGATAACTAACTACAAGCAGCATGCATGATTTCATTACTACTGCGAGACCGTGCTCAGGAAAAATATATATATAGGAAATCCTGATCCATGAACTTAATTTCTCTATGGCATTAGACAAACAGTACTTTAGTTCGTCGGCGACCTTGCAAAAGTAGATATGCTAAGAGCTTAAGCAAATACTACAAAACTAGACGATTGGCTACGTACCTAGAAATCAACTTGCCACCTAATTCTGATGTTATCTTCAAGTCAAGTCATAAATATAACTGAGAAAAACCCTCGACCTCTGCCGTTTCTGTCATTCTCTAACACCAACCATGACTACTGGCCTCGGAACATATTCACTAATTTACTAGTTCCAACTTCGAACGCGAAATAGCCCATCTCTCGTTTTTTTCTTTCAATATAATATATATATATATATATTTTTGGGACGTGACTCTTTTCTTTTATGATGATGGAGGAATATGGGTGAGTAGATTTGTTGTGCTCAATTGCATACTAAAAGTAGATAGGACTTAGGAGTTAGTGTTGATGGAAATGCGACCATAATTTACTCTACTAAGCAATTAATCCCAAGTTATAGAATGAGAAACGGCAATTTGAATGAGCTAGCTGTCAAATGCATACATACCTCTGATTCACTTTCGAGCTTGAGCTTATTTACCAGGTACTTGATTACTAACCGAATCGTCATTCCTCCATCCCTGAGCACAGGAATATGGAAATCAGACATCAATTCGACCAAGAATAGAAGCACGAAAAAGAATTATTACCACGTACTTGAATTGGTACAAACTAAATCCCAAAAAAAAAAAAAGCAAAGTACAGAAATGAGTGGATTACTTGATTCTCAAAAAGCTCTTGGATATCTGGGGAAGGAACGGTTCCTTTGCTCTGCGCGGGAAACATAAAGGCAAAAATCCATCACTTGTGGTGATGGTGCAAGTAACCCCCAAAACAAAAAAAAAACAAAAAAAAAAAGAAGGGATGGAGGGACAAACAAGAATATGACAAATTAAGCACAGCAAGTTAGGAGGAGTATAACCAATTTATGATTAAAGATCTCGTCCTTTTGGGCACATGGTTAATATAATTTGTAGTACTAGTGCTTGGTACTTACTGATTTTGTTGAGCTTGCAGCATAAACCAAATCCCAGAATGTGGTCTCCGAGGAGGATCGACGACTCTGAAATCAATGCCAGCTGGCCTAGCTGTAGCTGCACCTATGCCGGCATGAAGGTGAAAGGGTCGGGGAAAATAAGGACCCGGGGGTTGCACTACTAACGAAGGTGAAGATGAAGAACAGGTGTGAAGAGTAGTTGATGAAACTACTCTAGAATTAGCCGGCCAGTTAGTAATTTCTTGATGTGGAGGGGAACTTGACGACGTTAATGAAATAGTTCCTCCTCGCCCCGGATGTTGTAGAAACAAAGGCGATGGTGTATTTATCAAGTAATTTGCAGTAAGCGGCGGCCTAGGAGGAGGAGGAGGAGGAGGAGCTCGAAATTCAGCAGGCCCCCCAATATGAAACATAGAATTGAAAGGGGCGATGTATGATCTTAGTTGCTGTGGTGAAGTACTAGCAGTACTCATACTACTGCCTGCAGGAGGTAGTAGATCGAGCTCGACCATTCCCCCTCTTCCTCCTGGAGAGCTTCTTAGATGTCCTAGTGATAGCACCTGAGGCTGAGGACGACCATCGTCCTCATCTTCTTCTCCTTGTTGCTGCTGCTGCTGTTGTTTATTATCGGTGTCATCATGATCGTCGCTGTCATTACGAGGGGTTGCAGCCGTGAGGCCACCAATGCTCAATCGAAGCCATCCTTGATCATGATCATCATCCCCCCTGTCGTCCTGATCTCGAGGAGCATCCTTCAACGAATTACTGGAGCCAGCAGCTTGATTCACAGTGCTCTGATCAGTTCTAATTGATTCATCTGGCTGCTGTTCCGCCATAAATATTTGTCGACTAACTAATACTGGATCAGAAGATGATCCTAATGTCAATAAGCAAGGAGCAGGTCCACTAGGAGGCGGAGGAGGAGTACTTTCTTCTGCTTCACTACTACAACCATACCCTTCTTCTAATCGGCTCATAAGACCGTAACTGCCGTCCGAAAAACTACCAATACTAGTACGACCACCGCCAACATAACCCCCGTAGCAGTGCTTTGTAAAACTACTAGAAAGATTTCGGTGAGGAGGAGCTGCAGCACCAGGAATGGCGGACGTCATGTTGAAAACCCCCCAACAAACCCCACTGATGCTCCCCGGAAGAAATAGTACGAGTAGTAGTTCTGAGGACAAGACCTGACCTTGCAGATATTATTCTTCTTCCTCAACTGCTTATAATACTTAACATCAAAAACGTTAAAAGCCATGGATTAATGAAAGGACATCAAGCTGCTCCCTCAAGTAGTACTCTTCTTTATATTGAAAAGAGAGATGATAGCAGGATATTTTTGATGTAAAAAGAGACATGTTTTGAAGTTTTGGAATCGGAATGAGCAAAGATACAGCAGATACCCATTGACCAGATGATACAATGATGTTTCATCTGTTGTTTTTATCATGCTACTAATAGACAAATCGGTAGAGAAGCAGTGATAGTAATAGTAGGGATAGATCAGGAGTACTATAATAGAATTTGGAAATCTCACTTTCCATTAATGTTGTTTGTTTTGGAAGCTTGTGAAGCTGAGGGAATGAAATAGTTGCAGAGGTTAGATTGAAAGACAAACATATATGGTGGTCAGTCATTTAATGATGATGGATCACATATATATATATATATATATATATATATATATACACACACACAGACACATACAGGGAATATATATATCTCGAAGTTGAATGATGAGAATATGTTTTTGACTTTATCAAGACGAAAAAACATTTTCCACTTTATTTTTACATATGGAGCCATGGAGGCCTTCCAGCTAACGACTTTAGGGCGGTTCCAAGAACACCAAAATTACCCTAAAAGTTCTCTCTTTTTCCAGATATCACAAAAAGGTCCCTTTTCTTTCACCTTTGCTGCTAGATGTCTCATGCCTACCTAAAAACTAAAACTCAGCTTTTAATGCTTCCAAACGGTGGTCAATTGACGGATCATGCATTCACGGTTTAGAAATTGGACTCGTTGATTGGTTTCCACGTAATTTTGCCCTTTATACAAATTATTACGACATTTAAATTGACCAAGTTAAGTTTCCCTTGGAAAAAGCACATCATTTTGACCTGGTGGACATCTTCTCTGTATCTCTGTCGATTTACTGCTGCTTTGGGAAAAATAAAGAAAGATGTCCCTTATAGGTAGAAGTAGTTCGCATTTCTTGATGAGCTTAAATTAATCCTTAGTTAATTTTGGGGACAATATACCACCTTGCAGTTTTTATTCAACAATTCAAATTCACATGACACACCCCTAACTAATTCGTGATGTTTCTGGTTTGCACCCCAAACTCTAACTTTTGGGTGCATTTAATGTATCCCCCAATTTGGTTTTGATTTGAATGCGCAATAGGTACAAATAGATCTTTACTTGATATTAATGAACCTCACCACTTACAAATTTATGATGAAATTAAAAATTTTTTTTAGGGAAAATCGTCCAAAACGTCCCTCACATTTTGTAAAATAACTTTTTTCGTCCTTCACTTTTAAAAGTGTAATTTTATATCCCTTACATATTTACATCGGATAAATTTAGTCCTTAACTAGGTTTCCGATCATTTTTTGGCCGGAATCCATCATGTGCAAGGCACGTGATCATTTTTTAAGGGTAAATTTGTCAAATTATATTTTACATAATCTGATCTATAGTCCTCCACATTTTATAAAATAAATTTTTTCGTCCCTCACATTTCACAAAATGATTTTTTTCATCCCTCACATTTCACAAAATGAATTTTTCATTTCTCACTAATTATGTGTATGAATACATTTTTTTAAACACATGTATATGTTTATTTGATTTTGCTTAATAATAAAGCATAAACACATGTATTTAATTGGACCCAACTTGTGGCCTATCTTCTCTTTTTGTATGATTATGACTAATATTTACCAATAGAACCTTAATTTGCATATTCTTATTGTATTTTGATCGAAAATAATTTTATTGGCCAACTTGACAATGAATGCAAGATTATTTACTAACTAATACCAGATGAAATCAAATGATCACGTATAATATATGATATTCGTATTGTTAAGTGAAATCAAATAGACACATACATATATTTATGCTATTCGTATTATTAAGTAAAATCAAATAGATATATACATGTGTTTAAACAAAATGTATTCACACACATTTTTTTTTTAGGGTTTTCCTCACATACATAATTAGTGAGGGATGAAAATATTCATTTTTTGAAATGTGAGGGATGGAGAAATTCATTTTGTGAAATGTGAGGGATGAAAAAATCATTTTATAAGATGTGAGGGACGAAAAAATTTGTTTTATAAAATGTAGAGGACTATAAATTAGATTATGTAAAATATAATTTGTCAAATTTACCTTTTAAAAATGATCATGTGCCTTGCAGGTGATGGATTCCGGCAAAAAATGATCAGAAACCTAGTTAGGGACTAAATTTGACCGATATAAATATGTAAGGGACATAAAATTACACTTTTAAAAGTGATGGACGAAAAAAGTTATTTTACAAAATGTGAGGGACGTTTTGGACGATTTTTCCTTTATTTTAATCCTCGTATTTCTATATATAGGCACCTCTCCAAAAGAAAATTGAGGAACCTAAAACCTTATCCATGTTAGTTTTCTCTAAATTTTGGAGAAAATGCGCGTCTTCGAATTACGAAGTTTTCAAATATGATTTAGGTCAAAGCAAACAATCAAATGTACTTCTCTAAATTGATAGGGAAGACAGTAAGTGCCAGTTGTGTTTGGATAGGAGTTTATTTGAGATAATTATTTTAATTTTTTTTTTGTGATGTGATATATGTGCGATAAAAAAGATGATGGGAATGATAAAAAAAAAACAAATTATTTTATCTCAAATTATCTCAATCCAAACAAACTCAGTACTAGTGTAAAATACACATTTCCTCTCGCCAACGATCATCCATGTGGAAGGTTTCCCGTTGGGCATATATATATATATATATATATATATATATATGTATATGTATGCATTGCTGGCTGGTATTATTGTGGAGTAGGGGATATCAATTAGCTTTGCGAGACTGATGATTAGTAACGAAAAGGTCACTTCCAGTACGTTATATAGTTAGAAAATGTGTGCAGGGCACTAATTGCAAGTAATGAATATATATTGCCCAAATGGGGTATCGCGACATGATGACAGTTCTCACTACTAATTAACCTGTTTTCGTGACATTAAAAAACCACAACAGGCAAGCCCCCCGCACAGTCCTAGGTAATTAATGTTAGGATTATTACTACTAAAACAATTGTTTGTTGGTTGGTAATAATAAAGAAATGAATGGCATCTAATTCGAAGGTATGTATGATGATTATGTTTCCCCGCCAAGCCCATGAAGCGGAACAGAGCGACGTGGTCATGTAAGACATTCCCCAGCCATGTGCCTCCCACCTTCCCTGCAACTCTCCTCTGCCTGAATTGTCAAAAACATGAATTGCCTGAATTTTTTTTTTTTGTACACACACACACATATATATATATATATACTCACTCTCGATCTTTTGGTAATTTGGGGAGAGCAAAAATCAGGATGTGTACATATATATATATATATTGATTATATATTGATGATGTACAGAGAGATGGTTGGTTCATTAGGTCCTCAATAGAATAGAGCACGAGACAGGGGAAGCGTGGCCGAAGGTCAGGGGACAGTGCATCGATGAGTGCATGGGCATGGAATGATTTAAGCTTGGAATAGTGAAAGCATAAAAAGTGCTCCATCTCCATGTAGCAGTCTTTTGACGGGAATGTTTTTCTACGCAAAAAAGTTCCCCAGCAACCCGCACTACTGACTCCACGTCACCCACCCTATCAATTTATTCCTAGCTACCTCCTTCTCTTTCGACTTCCTTTCTTTCTTTCGACTTTATCAATTTATTAATTAGTGCTCCAAATTAGCTCACTTGACTTGACTTGATAACAAAAGAATCACTTTCCTTTTCATGTATTATCGACGGTGTGAGAATGGTATCGGTGGTGAACCATTTATAATTAAGAATTTTTATAAATATTTTATTTTATGCTCTCTGAGGCATATATATATATATGCTATGGCTCGACTCGCGTTGATGATCGGAATTGAATGTACCCAAACATTTATTTATCAAAAAAAAAAAAAAATAGTACGTGTCGTCATGTTCATAAAATATTGTACATCCCATGATTTTGGACTTTATTTGTCGATTTGGTAAATCAAGATCTTATAATATTGATTAAGCGTGCGCTTTTTTTTTTTAAGAAAAAAAAAAGGCTCTGAAAAACTTGTCTAGGAGTGATTAAATTATATACACATGCAAAAAAAAAAAAAAAAAATTTGTTTTTCTGTTAAAAAGAAAAAATATATATGATGTCATTGGTAACTTAAAATTTAATCCAGTTTGGTCATCAGAGGGGTAAAGTTTTAAAATGAAAAAGATACCTGAAAGTGGAGTGGACAGGAAAATACGTAAAAACACGTTGTTGTGTAGTGGAAATCATCTGAAAAATAGGATGAGTGGGGTTTGTGAGATAGGATGATGACATGTGGGGTAGAATTATAAAACTAGCATCCGGCCAAGGAAAACATCCACCAGCTTGCTTTTTCATGATTAAAAAAAAAAAAAAAAAAAAGAGAGAGAGAGAGAGAGAGAGATCGTATTAATTTGCTACGTAATTATAGTGCATGGGGGTGTGGTTTGAATTCGATTGAGAGCACAGCACAGCACAGCACGTAGGATTTTATTACACTTAGCTAGCGTTACATGATGATGACTTATCATCGACTGCGTGCGGCTCACCGGAAAAAGAAAAGGAAAAAAAAAACAAAGAATGAAAAAGATGAAAGCCTTCTGAAATGCGAAGCATCCAACTCCATCGAACGTGAAGAGAAAAGCAGTAGTGTGTTGTTTCTGGACTGGACCTGCCTCTCTCATTTCGGCCGGCCCCAACTCTACAGTTGAAAGCACTCGAGAGATGAAAATGGACAATGGCTCTTTTGTTCTCGTCATCATGCCATCATCAATTCCATCATCATATCATAACTCCTCCCCAACAAATATACTAAATCAATTGATCAAGCCAATGAAATTTTAATCTCTCTCTCTCTCTCTCTCTCGCTGGGGTACTGATCCAGCTAGCTAGCAATAATTTAATTTTACTGCTGTTGTCTCCATGTGTGTGTGGGTGGGGTACAGGGGAGGCAAGGAAAGAAGGAAAAGGGGTTAAGAGATTAGTGGTAATTTTGCATGTGCATGCGGAATGATGAGCAGTAAATAGTAATTGATTGTCAGTCCATGCATGGCATGTGAGTTACTGAGGGATCCGGCTTCACGTATCCAATTCCAATCCATTATCATAATTCTTTATCATATTTCGTGTAGTCTCTGAATTTTAGCACGACTGTTGATCTATTTATACTAGTTAATTATTTCAAATTTACACCCTCAATTCATGACGGGATGTATATATTTTCCTTTCAATAGACTCGGTAAAAAAAAAATAAAATAAAATAAAATTGTGCTACTATATATCGCT